TTCCAACAATATGATTCACCGCCCTCCATCCGATCTAATGTTAACACATCAAAAATTAATAGGAGGACCACTTCAAATCATGATGTATGGACGGTTTTTCTGGATAGCTCCTAATATCAATGTGGATCTGCCCGGAGATGGTACTTCCTATTGTCTTCATCTTTCACCAATTCCATCCCGGAACAATCTCTCTTTCCCACAAGTGTTGATGTAAGTCATGTAGCTCAAACTGCCTAACATGATATTATCAGTATCATGCTGCAAAGTACGTTTGATTGGTCTTATTTGAAATCTCTGTATAAGGGACCAAATTTATCATGTAATCCGAACACCCCAAGGCTGCGATCCTGTACTCATCTGAGGCCGCTATAAACTACTTGACTAACATAATTAGCTCCTGAGATATTACATAAGAGAGGATTGAGCCGCTAGGCCAAAAGATCATGGCAAGAATTGGAATGCCCAATTGTGGCTGCGGTGGCATGCAACATAGATACTAGGCCCTTAGATCCCCCCAAAGACCACAAGGCCCGCAAAAGCTCCACTCAGCTCCAGACCCATTTGCTTGTATCCTCACTTCTCTGGTAATCCCGGTAACGGTCCGTTACCGCCTGGAAAAAGCACAAGAAGAGGAAAAGTCGCTGAACTAAAGCGCGATCGCAGAAAAACTTTTTACATATACATATATCCTTTGGGTGGCCCCTCAAAAAATGACATTCCCAGCTAGACTTCTCGGCCATGCAGTCTGTGCACCCATCGGATTCGTGTGCAACCGAGCCGCATCCACTGCCCCTGTGTGAGATCCATGCGGCCAGTGGAGAGAATTCTCATGCTCCGAAAACCAAGTCTACCCGAAAAACAAGAAGTTGATCAGGAGAAACAAGCGATCGACGATGAACAGGCGCCTCTTCACTGTGTCATGCCAAACGGCGAAAAGACTTTCGTAATTATGGTGGGATCTTTTGCGGCCCTGTTTTCACCTCTCTCCAGCAGCATTTATCTGCCAGCGCTCCCCATCCTTGGCTAGCGACATGAATGATTCTGGGTCGCTGATCAATTTGACTATCACGACATACCTGGTAATGTCCACCAAGCTACACAGGGGAAATATGAAGCTGATCATTTGTAGATTTTCCAAGGACTCGCACCCTCTCTCATTGGCAGCTTTTCAGATATCTATGCGCGCCGTCCAGCTTATATTATTGCATTTGTCATTTACCTTGGAGCGAACATTGGCCTCGCTTTGCAAAACAACTTAACGGCGTTAATGATCTTACGATGTGTGCAGTCCTCGGGTAGCAGCGGGACAATTGCGATTTCTCGACTCGCGCCGAGCGAGGAAAGTGAATTGGATACGCTGGAATTAGAATGGCATTAGGACCGACACTTGGCCCTGTCATCGGTGGGTTGTTGGACCATTTCCTGGGATGGCGATCGATAATTTGGTTCCTGGCCATTTTTTCAGGTGTTTGCTTTGTGGTGATCCTTATTGTATTCCCTGAGACATGTCGAGCCGTCGCGGGGAATGGATCAGTGCCGCCAGTCTTGTGGAATCGCCCACTGTGGACATTACTTGTATCACGATCACGATTCAACGATGAACAAGGGACCGCCGATCACTCCACCATCCAGGTACCCAAGAAGCGTCCAAGTCCAATTTCAGCTTTATTGATAGCCACGCAAAAAGAGATGGACTTGGTTCTATTGAATGGATCCTTTTTGCACGCATGGTACATGGCCGTTATAAGCACTCTGTCGACTCTGTCGACCGAGTGAGCAAGTCGGTTCGGATTCAACTCCATTCAAATTGGACTATGCTATCTTCCAATGGGTATTGGCAGCATAAGCTCGCGCTGGGTAGTTGGCCGACTCTTGGACTGGAACTTCCGCCGAGAGGCACACTTGCAAGGAATGGTGATTCACAAGAACCGACAGCAGGAAATTGAAAAATTCGACATTGAATGAGCACGGCTGGCGATCACTCTCCCACTGATCTATTCAGCTAGTCTTTGCATCTTAGCTTACGGTTAGGTGATGCAGTATCGCACTTCGCTCGCGGGCCCCCTTGTGATGTTGTTCTTCACTGGTCTTACAACCACAAGTGCCTTTAACACCTTGAGTACTTTGGTTGTGGATATCAAAGCGCCGCGACTGCTGCGGCAGCGAATAATTTGTTTCGATGTCTCATGGGTGCTGGAGCCACGGCTATCGCGCCGCCTCTAATTAAATCCATCGGCATTGGATGGACGGCTACATTTCTCTCTGGCCTTTGGTTGCTAGGCAATCCTGCCCCATGGGTGGTTTTCTACCGAGGGTACCGGTGGAGAAGCGAACTTTCCCACAAGCACGAGCAAAAATCCGAAAAGTCTTCCCACGATTTGTGAATCCCGCTAGAAAATAAGCGATCAAATCAAAAATCTTTCCAATTAGAGTTGGATATCGGGAAACGCGACGGAGCGATCAAGATCTACTCTATGTTCTACATAATATCTCCAAAATTTCGATCAAGACCAACAAAGCTTCTAAAAGCTCGGCATTTGGCCCCACAATTGGCTCTACACTCCACACCGAAACGAGTTGACGACGCTAGCGCCGAGGATTACGCATGCCCTTCTATATTTAAAAAGCGAGATTATGATGTATGAGAATGAGATTTCCTGCTAAGCTTTTTTTTTTTTTGGAGAAAATAATCTTCCTCCCGTAATGTCTCAATAACTTCTCTTACAGACACCTGTCTACGCATATTCTCTAATATCACGAAAATTCATATGGTTTCACACACACCACCTTGATAAGATGCACTTGTTTGGGAGTTGGTTGCCCTTCGGAGGTGCTGTCACTGTACTCCTCCTTTCGAGCGCAGCACGCGCAATCAACTTGGATATTAGCGATGAGCGTACGTGATGGAATCTCAATTCCGCCTACAGGTGAAATACCAAGGCCCATGAGAAGCTAATGTTTGAAACCAAAATAGAGTCAATCAAAGATGCCGCGAGTACCTCGACTTACGCTATGATGAAATACTACTATGGCAACGAGACCGGTCAAATCCCTGGAGCCTTTCCAGATAAATGGTGGGAAGGAGCCCCACTCCTTATGGCCCTGTTAGAATACTGGCACTTTACTGGCGACACAACATACAACGAGGAACTAAGTGTTGCCCTGCAATGGCAATCGGGTACGGATGGGGACTATATGCCAAGCAACTACAGTTCTTATTTGGTGAACACAGTCAGAGTATGAACAACGAATGATGTCTAACACCGATAATGCACTAGGGAAACGACGACCAGATGTTCTGGGGTCTGGCAGCTATGACGGCCGCTGAACTCTCATTCCCAGATCGCTCAACTGGATTCTCTTGGCTGTCTTTAGCTCAAGGGGTCTTCAACACTCAGATCAAAAGATGGGATACATCCTCCTGTGGCGGTGGTCTACGATGGCAAATCTGGCCCTACCAGTCTGGCTACGGAATGAAGAATTCCATTTCTAATGGGGGGCTATTCCAGTTATCTGCGCGTCTAGCCCGCTACACCGGAGATGCCATCTATCTCCAGTGGGCTAACAAGATTTGGGATTGGTCTGCCTCATCGCCTTTGCTTAGCAATTCAACATGGAACGTTGCCGATTCCACCAACATTGATAATGATTGTTCGACCCAGGGAAATGCCCAATGGACGTACAACTATGGCACTTACCTGATGGGGGCCGCGTATATGTACAACCATGTGAGGAACGCCCGTTTTCGAGTTTCTCGTTTTCTTCGTTGTGTCGAAATTCTCGAACTAACCTAACCCCTCCTCCCCATAGACAAATGGCACTACCCAGTCTCAATGGCTGACCGCAGTAAATGGCCTGTTGAACAAGACCATTGACAACTTTTTCCTTACCGGTGGGATTATTGAGGAATATTACTGCGAGCCTGCAGAAAACTGTAATAACAACGAGGTCCTCTTCAAAGGACTAACTTCCACCTGGTTGGCCTTTACTGCTCTACTTGTTCCATCCAATTTTGACAGAATTATCGCCAAGCTCCAAACATCGGGCAAGGCAGCCGCTGCATCCTGCACTGGCCACAGCAATGGAACTTGTGGTGTCCAGTGGTACAAGTCTACATGGGACGGGTGGATGGGAATGGAGGAACAGATCAGCGCGACAAAGGTCTTCACGGCAAATCTGATCAACTTTAATAACACTGCTCCGGTGACCTCGAAAACCGGCGGAAACAGTACGAGCAATCCAAAAGCAGGCGAAAGTGACACTACTGCTTCCAGCAAAATGACGATTGCAGTGACAACTGCTGACAAGGTAGGTGCTGGCATAGTGACTGCAGTTTTCGTGGCTGGCTGGATTGGACTCACAAGTTTCATGATACTTGGTGGTTGATTGCGCTAGCATGTGTGAACAACACTGTTTTTGGTTGTGGGGTTTTTTTGTCTATTTGGAGTTTCGGTCATCTCGCGCTGGGCGACTGGATATGGTCTTTTGAGTTGGATTTGGCATGCTAGAGGTGAAGAAACAAACCTTACAATGCATGTGTGGGAAGACACCAGACAACCCACAGAAGTCAGTACTTTTGTATTTATACCCCCTGGAGTTTTAAATTGACACCAGACAAGAGTAACCAAGTTGACCGCTTATGCTGTGACGCCTTTCTTTGAGTAGTCTTTTTAAATGTCCCGTGAGACGTCTTTGTTTTAAACCTTTTTTTTTTCTGTGCCCTTGAGTTTCTTAAAGAGACGCGAAAAAGTCGGAAAGAGGCTTAATCGACGACAGGGACTTTTTTTAAAAAGTTAAGCGCTCTGGCCACATGATAAATGTTAGTCTAGGATAGTCAGATCAGGATCCACTAGCAAAGTGACATCAGAAATCTCATTTAAGTTTTTTTTAAACAATAGGAAGTCTCATCATAGCCCTAAGCCCTCTGCGCAAAACACGCCCATTTTGCAGTTTAGCTTGCTAGACCCGGACTTCATTGTGAGCAACTGCCATGGGAGGCTGTTACACATCGCGGATGTGGGGAAAGGAGGGCAGCAGAGATTGTAGGGACCGTGATTCTGGACAATGTTGCCCATGGTTGCCCATGTTTCTGCAGACTGTCGTGTGGTTTATAACCTCTTTCCTACTTAAAGGCCCACTTCGGCACATGGGAATCCATTCAAAGGACAAGAACATCCAGGTACCACTGTGAGTGAATGGATGGATGCAGCAGACCATGATTATGTCTTTTGACATGACACTCTTCTCTTTCCAGGTGTCTTGGTGGGTTAGGCCACGTGGGCAAATCTATCTTGAGGCCAGTGATCTCAATTGGGCTGGCTAGACACTCTACAATCTCTGTACGAAGCTGCAAGAGGATGGTGATTGTGATGGTCATATGTCAAAGGTATAGTTTAGCAGTTCAAGTAAGATGCGTTAGTTTGCAATAAATCCAGTGGTTTCTCAATTCAAACAAAAATTAAAGAAGTGTTAAATTCATGTCCTAGTATGCTGCTATGTTCCCTCAATGAAGAGAAGAAATCCAGCGAGGAGTTCATCAATTGCGGAAGTTGTTAATCATGTACACAATGAATGTATCCCGTACATTGTGGAACTGGGCTGCCCCGACGGCTTTAGCTCGGAAAACACGCCAAAGCGGCTTCACGTGGCGAATTGAGTCTGAGAGTGGTCTACATTATAAGAACAATGTCACTGTTGATTAGTTCAGCCTACAAACAAGACGATACTGAAGAGTTTTCCTTCTCCCGAGACAAATTGATAACGGCTATGGTCGGTTGTCCTCGGCAGAGTAGTCCAGCGGCTGTTAGCCACACCTCCGACTCTAGCCGAGTTAGACATGAGATCTAACTGGTCACTGACTTCCATTGCAAAGACACTGTGACTGGATAGTGGATATTTCAAGCACTTGAAGCCACAGCGGAAAAGTATGGATCGTCAAGAGGTGATTTTTTGCCCTAGTTGAGGCCACTTAGCCGCAAGCAGGGCCCATTTTTACAATAGATCAAGAATTGGGCCGAAGACTAGGAAGAAAAAATGTGGTCAATGGGCCGACAGAAAAGAGGACATATACTGTGCTTCCGTTCTCGACAAAGATCTTTTGCACATTCTCACACAAACACGCAGTTTAATCCCCAAACCTTGATATGATAACACACAATGGAGCATCTCAACCAACGTCCAGACAAATATGAGCCAGATATCGAAGACCCTATTGACTCTGAAAGTCATGAATCTGACGACCCAATTGAAGAAATCAATTCTCTCGAGCTTACTCGGATCAACACCTATCGACTGCAACAAAAGACAACCGTAGGCTCTACAAGAGGGCCTACTCCCCGAGACAGATGGCTTCCTATGGGTGCCAACAAGGATCATCCACCTCTGCTCCCAGATTCTGAAGACTATGTCGTGGAGTTTGATGGAGCGAATGATCCTTTGCATCCATATAATTGGTCTACACCTAGGCGGCATGTTCACTACCTTTTCTCCTCGATCTGAGAAATGCACGTACTAATAACTTAACAGAATAATGCTAGTTTGTATCCTATGCTATGGTACCTTCGCTGGATCATTTACCAGCGCTGTCTTCTCAGCCGCAATCTCTGGCTTCAGCAAGGAGTTCAACACAAGCACCGAAATTGGCTCACTTGGCGTAACACTCTACGTCCTCGGATTTGCAGCGGGACCAACAATTTGGGCACCAGGATCAGAGCTGATCGGGAGACGTTGGCCACTCTCTCTCGGACTTTTCGGATGTGCCATCTTCACCATAGCATGTGCAGTTGCTAAAGATATTCAGACCGTGATGATCTGTCGGTTCTTTGCTGGCCTGTTTTCCGCAAGTCCGATTTCAGTCGTTCCCGCGGTATTTGCAGACTTGTTCAACAATACACAGCGAGGTGTCGTCATGTCGATTTTCTGCATGGCGGTGTTCATCGGGCCCTTTTCCGCACCGTTTGTGGGTGGCTTCATTGCAATGAGCTCTCTGGGTTGGCGGTGGACGATGTACATCTCCGCAATCATGGTGTTCCTAGGGTTTGTCTTAGTCTTTGCCTTTCTTGAAGAGACATATGCTCCAGTCATCCTTGTCCGCAAGGCTGCTACCCTACGCCGACAGACTCGCAATTGGGGCATCCATGCAAAGCAAGATGAAGTGGAAGTGGATTTGACGGAGCTTCTGCGGAACAACTTTGCCCGACCGATTGTGATGTTGATCACGGAGCCCATCCTGCTTCTGGTCTCATTGTATATCTCTTTCGTCTATGGCCTCATCTATGCTCTGTTGGGCGCTTACCCTGTTGTCTTCCACGGCGTCTACGGAATGAGCCCGGGTGTCGGTGGACTTGCCTTTATCGGCATCATCATTGGTGAACTTCTTGGTGGCGTGTACATCCTCCTCACACAGGCGTCATACAAGGCCAAGCTGGCGGCAAATGGTGATAAGCCTATCCCCGAATGGCGACTCCCGGCAGCGATTATAGGAGCTGTATCGTTTGCAGGAGGGATGTTTTGGTGAGTACCACTGTTTGCCACAATCAAACCCCTCGTCTGTTCGGAGCTAATTACCAGCAGGTTTGGCTGGACCGGATACACTTCATCCATTCACTGGATGGCCCCTGTATCTTCCGGGCTCCTCACCGGAGTGGGGATCTTTTTGATCTTCCTGCAGTGCTTCAACTACATTGTTGACTGCTATCCTACGTTGTATGTTGCCACCTTCTATGCTCCGTGAAAAAATGAGACTAACGCAATTGAAAGAGCTGCATCCACTATTGCCGCGAACACGATTTTGCGCTCAGCTATTGGCTGCTCGTTCCCGCTTTTCTCCCGGCAAATGATGGAAAACCTAGGTGTGCAATGGGCAGGAACACTGCTTGGTTGTCTCGCAATTTTGATGATTCCCATTCCTGTTCTGTTCAAGGCATACGGCCCATGGCTGAGAGAGAGAAGTAAACTGGCATGCTCGCCAGTTTATGATGTTGAAAAGAAACGTTATGATGTCTGATAGATACGAATTCATGTAATAGAGTCCAATATACCCCCAATTTTGTTTTGCAGATCAGATCAAGGACACCTTCATGATACGTGAAGACCCTGTAGTAACTTGTTAGTAACTAGTGTCTAGTCACGTTGGTCAGGTGTGCATTCGTGGCCTTGTTTGCAAGGCCGTATAATTCAATTGGTTGCCGTGAATGACGTCACCATGCCAATCAACTCACCGATTCTTTGGTTGATCGGATTGCACCTGGGCAGTGTTCACCTCACAAGAATCCCACAACTTCTCCGACACCCCTGGACTAGTCCCAACCGATTTCCCGCATCTTTTGATTTCATAATGGACTACCCTACCAACAAACAGTTTCTTTTCGGCCCAGACTGGGACCTCAATCGCTGGACCTCCTCCGATGACCGCGTCCGCGGTGGATCATCTGTGTCAAATCTCGAGCCTACTGCAGAAGGGGTGCGCTTTTATGGCAACCTCGACATTGAGACACTTGGTGGTGCTGGTTTTGCCTCCCAACGCACGGTTGGAGACGAACAAACATGGGACCTCAGCGGATACGATGGCGTTGAGCTACGCATTATTCCATCGGACAAAAATCGATACACCTTCTCCTTGACAGACGAAATCCCACCAAGGAGGCCCGATGGTCGTGAACAAAGCGCTCTTATCTGGGAATTTGATTTCTCTGCGAATGAGGCAGGGCGCGAAGTGCGTCTGTCCTGGAAGGATCTGAAACCGACGTACCGGGGGAAGCCGGTGGAAGATGCGAGGCCGTTGGACTTGTCCCGTATAAGGAGATTTCGGATCATGATTCGAAGGTGAGTCTTGCATAAAGGGATATCGCAAACAAGGCGCTCATTTTATAGTTTCTTTGGGTCACAACAAGGCGACTTCAGCCTGAACATCCAATCGATCGGAGTGTTCCGCGAGAGCTACCTTGACAATCCAGGTGTCACGAAGGAATCCATGGACTGTGATAATGACCAAACTGAACTGAACGAAACCCGAGAGAAGACTAGCTGGTTTCCGTGTTGTTGTTCTTTGTTCTAACTGCATGGTCTCTTTCAAGAATTGCACCATCGAACTCCTGCAGATATTGGCATACCATGAATTCAGCATCTGATTGATCTCGAGAGATTTAAAATGTGAATGGTGTGTAATTGGATTCTCATTCTGCCTAGGTAACTTGATATCATTCCATATCTAAGTTGGGATGCAAGAATCAAGAAGAGTAGAGAGAGGGTGCAGGGCAAAAAAGTCTTGGCGAGAATTCCACGCCCGCTTGAGGTGATCATGCTCCACTAAATAGAGAGATTTGATGTTTGAAGATGAAAGTTTAGATAGGAAATTAAGCGCTCTTTAGGATTATCAATGAAGAGATTTGAACTCTAGACTGAGTCATGAATTTCCATGCTCAAGTTATGTGCTGATCAAAAAATAATCGGGGGGGGGGGAACTTGTGATTGTCGCCTGATATATCGGGCAGCAAATGAAAGGCAAACGGGTCCACCTTTGATCCGCCCTATCCCGGTAACGCTAGGCATTTTCAACAAAAGGACCTAGTATGCGAACTCTCGTTGAGAATTTTGCAGATTGCCTTGAGGATATACCATGATGACATACTTGGAGCACAATGATGCAGCTAAATGTCCCTGTGCGAATACCTCCTGACCACCGCCCAACTGCGGAGGCGCTCAATGCCGGTTCAGGAAGTGGGAGCTAAGAACCATGTGCCTGTCTCTACTAACTTGAAATCGTCTAAGTAGCTGGTCCCAAGGTTTCAAGATTGTTTCAATATCTGTCACGGGCAATGGCACGAAGAGACTGTTGTATATGTTTCCATAATGAAAGGGATTACCTTAAGTAGGTGGTATTGTGGCAAGACCATGTGGCTTTGGGGTTACAACTATCTACGGGGTGTAACCCCCGCAAATGTTACAACAATCTGCTGATGGACTCTTTACAAATATCTAGGTAGCATCAATTGAATACCTCTTGAGAATCCCCTCTAGCATACTTCCCGATGGATCCATCAAACCCTAATCAGAAGAGCCCATTTGGTCGCACAACCAGGTAGTCAGGTGCTATGTAAGAATTGTTACAACTTTCTCCAGCCTATATTGGTATAAAGGTGGAAATAGCAGAAATCTTTCGTTCCGTTCAGATCTCAGGGGTTCGAAATTTAACTTTGTATGTCTGTCTCTATGAGACACGGGAAGTTGGTTGCTCAATCTAGTCGCGCTTTTCCAGCTATACTGAACATTCCTCCAAAAGCCATTATTTTGTCCGTGGGTTACATTCGGGAGGTTACTGATATCATGCCGATGAGGTAAGGTTCAAGGGATCTAGACCTTGTTTCCGTTAGTATGTTCAAGTTGAATTCTCATGGCTTGAATGTTCGACGACTTTGACCAATATGGATGATGGCAATGCACATTTCCAGCATAGTGTGAAAGCAAACCGACTCTTCAGAGATAGACCAATCTACACAAGAAGAACGTTTGAAGCACCTTGAAAATATCATGATTGGCACCGACAGTTCTAGCCCACTTCGAGGGGATGCTGCTTTTTGATTCTGTTTGATCGTCGGCACGTATATAACCTAAAACCACCATTTTCACCCCTAGAAATATCCGGCCACCATAGACAACCGCGCAATCACCCGATCAGGTACACATAAGCGCACGAAATTCAGCATTCTTTCGCCCATAGCCTTCATACCAACCACATGGGTCCCGGAAAGCAAACGGTTGATTGGACTCGGAGAGATGGCAAAGATCACACTTGTTGTTCGAATGATTAAAAATTTTGTCGGTCAGGTGCTAAAAGTGCCGAGCGATCAGGTTAATCAAAGATGTATTTAAAGAGACGACATTTACACAAAACCGGGACAGATACTTGACAAGAAACCAAGATCATCCCAAGTCGAACTAAGAGAGTTTGGAAATGATGACGAAGATATGGCTTCTTTTGGGTGTGATTTCTTTAATATCTGCCACAGTTCATGCAGTGTCTACTGGAAATCACGACATACAGCATGCCAAAAGACAGCCGTCGACAGACCGACTTGTCTTTGCACACTTTATGGTAAACATGTCCTCGGCTCCCTGTGTTTGACAACTCCTAATAGCAAAAAGATTGGAATCGTGAGCAACAGAAAGAGCGCATCGGACTATGATGATGACATGAAGCGTGCTAAATCCCTGGGGATTGATGCATTTGCTCTGAACATTGGCGTAGACCCCTATACTGATCAACAACTCCAACTTGCATACGAGTCAGCTGCCAACAATCAGATGAAGGTGTTCCTATCATTTGACTTTAACTGGTGGCACACTGATCAGGCTACCGCAGTTGGCCAGAAGATTGCCCAGTATGCTGGCAAACCTGCACAACTTCTCGTCGACAATAAGGTGTTTGTTTCATCATTTGCCGGGGATGGAATCGATGTGGCGGTATTGCGAGCCGCAGTCGGAAGATCGATCTTTTTCGCACCCAATTTCCATCCTGCTTACGGGACAGACATCTCGACAGTTGATGGCCTGTTGAATTGGATGGCTTGGCCCAACAACGGAAACAACAAAGCTCCAACTCCCAACCACATGGTTTCTGTTGCCGACGGAGATCGTGAATATGCCAATGCCCTTGGTGGAAAAGCTTATATTGCCCGTTAGTATCTATGTTTCCATTGAAATTGAATCTCAATCTCTGACCACAAAGCAGCTGTATCCCCGTGGTTTTTCACGCATTTCGGACCTGAGGTTTCTTACAGCAAGAATTGGAACTTCCCATCTGACCTTCTGTGGTTTAATAGATGGAATGAGATCCTTGCGCTGAAGCCTCGATTTATCGAGATTGTGACCTGGAATGACTATGGAGAGTCTCATTATATTGGCCCTTTGAACTCCCCACATACTGACGATGGGGCTTCCAAATGGGTTAACGACATGTAAGATCATCAAAAACCATCTCTTCCAAGTTCGAATCCCCATTTCATCCGACTCAGCTAAATGATATCTACAGGCCCCACGATGGATGGCTAGACATTTCAAAGCCATACATCGCTGCGTTCAAAGCAGGCGAATCATCTCCCAACCATCACATCTCATCTGACGAGTTAGTCTACTGGTATCGACCCGCACCACGTGGGGTGAACTGTGACTCTACAGACACTTGCATGGTCCCCGCAAACAATGGGAGTGGAAACTACTTCATGGGTCGTCCAGACGGCTGGCAATCCATGGCCGATTCTGTCTTCGTTGTATCATTGCTTACATCCCCAGCCAAAGTGCAGGTCAACAGCGGTGGGACTATCTACAATTACGACGCACCAGCAGGGGCAAGCGCAAAGGAGGTGCCGATGGGAGTTGGCGCACAAAGCTTTGCGGTCATTCGGGGCGGGAAAAGCATCCTCTCAGGGACCAGTTTGAAGGAGATTATCAATGGCTGTGTGTGTGGTCTCTACAACTTCAATGCCTATGGTAGGTGAACACAGAACCACTGGTTATGACCTCGCTTTTAACATTGGTGTCTAGTTGGGACTCTTCCAGCAGGATTCAATGATCCCCTCCTGCAAGATGGACTCTCGGCCTTCAAACAGGGCCTGCGTGATCAGACATGTCAGCCGAGTCCCTCATTGGGTACAGTACCCCCTGCTCCCCCATCTTCAAGTACAAGCAGCAGTTTGCCAAGTCCTCCCCCAAGTACGTCAATACTACCCCAACCACTATCTTTGTCACGGTAACAGTTACTCAAACTCTGAATCTCACAGGTTCCGCGTCTCCAAGCCCAACTGGCGGTGGTAGCGGCGGTGGCGGTGGAGATGGGGGTCGGACCTGCATTGCGGGAACAGGATCCAACAACTACATCGGGTTGTGCTCCTTTTGTTGCAACTACGGTTACTGTCCACCGGGACCCTGCACTTGCACGAATTATGGGAGTCCAGTCACGCGTCCACCATCAACTGGAACTCATGGGGTGCCTCTTGTCGGCGAAGATGATTCGTATCTGGGTCTTTGCAGTTTCGCATGTGATCATGGCTATTGCCCCCCTACAGCCTGTAGAGTAGTTTGAGTACGACTCTTACGAGAGTTGAAATGAAGTTCTCCCAATGCCATTTTTGATATGTGGATGTGCAAGCATACCAGCACTGGTCATAGGCCCATGTAGGTTCCCAAGTTTCAAGAGCATGTAGGTTTACCATGCAATCAAACTGACTATAAAGTAAGAGTGTAGATAAACTTCTCAAGTTCCAAGTAACATCATGCTCATTAATCTAGATTTTGTAGCAATCTCTTTTGTGAATGTGGGGAACATCAAAAGGCAAAGAACGTCAAGCACTTGGGAGAATGAAGCCCAATCACAGCAGCATTGCTGCCAGGGCTTGAATTAAGATACAGCCTAGTACGGCAGTAGTAGGGCTTGGTCTTCCAGCAACACCTGCCGCGGGAGTAGTGGCGATGGTGCTGGTGGTAGCAGCGGCAGCCACACCCGCCGCGGGGGTAGTGATGACAGTGGCAGAGGCCTTACTACCAGTCGAATCCTCACTAGTGGTCCCATTTGCTGTTGCTGCCACCGCATCAGCCGTGGACGTTATGGTAACCAGCAATAATGTTATCTGGTCCCAGCCGATGGTTGAGGTGCTGGTACCGGGCGTGTTGATCCCTTTCCCGGTGATAGTGTCTGTACAGGTGTAAGCGCCTGTCGGGAGATCGGTCACATCACAGACAACGTGGTCATATCTGTTCAATCAATGAGTAATCTAATAACAACTCGCAGTAATGATTGAGGGCCGAGGAAACGCACAGATTGTCAGATTCATCACTTATCAAATATTCAACACTTGTTGGGGCTGCGGTCAGAAATAGGCCAGGGCCCATACCACATTCTGTGCTATTAGTTTTTCCGACCGGGCAATTGATACTGTATGTAGTTGTTGCTGATTGCTATTTCGAATTAGCTGGCGTATTCGTGGGTCATTCACATTGACACGAACCGCGGCCAAAACTTCACCTAGCAAGGATTGAGGGTCGGCGTTTGGAATGAACAAAGAGACGACGGGATATTCGGCGGCAATTCCCAGCGTTGCAATCGCCAGAAGAGCTTGCAGAATCATTATGTGCTGGTGTCTCTTATCTATATGGTTTAATACAAAAGGAGATATATTCGGCAGGCACCGGATGATTTGGGGAGGTCAAGGGTTCTACATTAGAAGAAATAACTGTATCCCGCTTGGCTACTAGCATCATAATTTTCTAAACCTGTCGTGTGGTTACGGGAAATTCCTGCGTGTGTTCTTGGATATCGATATGATGAAACTTGCATGTCATGCGGATCAAAGGCCGGCCATATTCCTGATCTCTTGCCATTCAGTATTACATTGGCACTGAAAGACAAAAAGAAGAGAGACAAGGAAATACGAAAGGTCTTCTTTTTTTTTCGTGATTCTGAATCGCGAAATTGCTTCGTCCCCGCTCCGGTGAATGTGTCGCATGGTGAACGTTTGAATACACATTCACAACAGAAATCTCTAAATTATATCGTCACTGTTACCACTCACGAATAGATCCATCTGGTCCATAGAACTCTTTGGGCTGCCAAGGTTCTGTTTCCTTGCTGATCTTTCGGACCAGGTCTTCGTCAATGTCTATTCCCAAGCCGGGTTTAGAGGGGGCAGCCACATATCCCTCCTTGATATTAAAGACCGTCTTATCCACCAAGTAGCTATTCAGGTCAATATCTCCTGCTTCAACATTGTAGTGCATACCTAGCGACATCTCTTGGATGACAAAATTGGGTATTGAGAGGGCCACCTGAAGCGAGGCCGCCAACGCGATGGGACCCAGAGGACTATGAGGCGCGATAGCAACATCATATGCCTCAGCCATATTTGCGATACGCAGAGTCTCGGAGATACCTCCTGCATGGGCAACATCAGGCTGTAAGATATCTACCGACGAGTCCTCTAAGAACCTCTTGATGTCCCACCTAGAGTATAGGCGCTCGCCGAATGCGATAGGGATTGCAGTCTGCCCAGCAAGCTGCTTGATAGCTTCGGGATGCTCGCAGAGTAGTGGTTCTTCAATGAACAGAGGGTGGTAAGGCTCCAGTGCCTTGGCCAGCTGCTTAGCCATAGGTCTGTGCAAGCGGCCGTGGAAGTCCAGACCAGCATCAAGACCCAGAGATTTCACCTGCTTCAATCGTTCCACGCAGGACTGCAAAACGGCTGGCGAGTCAAGCCAATTAACGTCTTCGGTAGCATTCATCTTGACACACTTGAGGCCTTGGGCGATTCGTTCTTTCCTATAGGAACCTATTGTCAGAGTCTCGATTCCTTTGGCTCTCCTTTCTGTCCTCGGAACTAACGCTGCAGCCTCAACATCACTTGGTCGGTCACCTCCAATCCAAGCATACACCTGCACCTTCTGGCGCACCTTGCCACCCAGGAGTTCATGGACTGGAACACCCAGCTTTCGGCCCTTCAGATCCCACAAAGCGATGTCAATCCCTGACAAAGCTGACATGAACACCGGTCCACCCCGATAGAACCCGAGCCGCCATACTGTCTGCCAAATATGCTGAATGTCACTGTTGGAGGTTAGAGCTTTCTTTGTCACCGATAACATCGATTCAATCATACTTCGCTTCGTATCCCACAATGCGAGTGATAATTTCATCGAGTGCGCCTTCGACCGCAAGGGAATGTCCTTCGAGTGTGCCCTCTCCCCAACCGAAGTGGCCCTCATCATCGGCGACTTTAACAAACAGCCAACGGGGCTTGACACGGAAGTATTCGATGGACTTAATCTTGGCCATTGCGAGTTACGAGATAAGATTCCCGTCAATAATAAAATACCGGAGCTAGACCAACGGAATTTTTGATGCGAGTAAATTATTTTTAAAGCTGGAGGTTTGCAATCCAACCCCACACGATGAATGCATCCCACGCGGGGTCTCGGGGGAAGTCCGGGCGGTTAAGCTGATGGTCATTGTCAGGCCGAAACCTGACCCACCCTCAGCGAGTCAGTTTCCCCTCCAGAGATCCTTGCCAGATGCCTTCCAGATGGACCACTTTACTGATTTCCGACAGAAGGGAAGATCCAAAGGACTTGAAGCAAACTGATGGGTGAAAGAGATTAACTGAACTCCTAGGATGGATTCTTCCTTTCTCAACTAATAAAACATGAAGGGTAAGAACATATAGTCCTGGCCCGACGGCAATACTGACCGCCTCCGGGAGGCGGTCATTTAACTCCGTCCTAATTGCTATTTCATACATACTGATGAGAAGGACTATTCCCCCTAAAAAAAAATCTTTCCTTCCGACAGTCATCAGCCCCCCCACGCCTAGGGGGTGGTAGGTCCAGTCTTAACATAGATACTCGACTTTGATCGGTTGAATGGTAGGAGGTCTGTCAACTCAAGGAAAATTTAAATAATAGAACGAACGGCGGAAAAAACTAGATCGAAATGTCAAAGCATCTCACATCTTACATTGCCAAGTGTAGTACCTCAATATTCCTGCCCGACGCTGTCTTCCTTGGTGCAAATTCCATTAAGGAAATTTCTGGCTACTGTTATTTGAGGACCTTCACTTTACCATCGCCATGTTGGAGGGTTGACACGGTCCAGCAGGCATGTTCTAGAAGGATTTGTTCATTCAAGGTCCCTTTATGGAGACGCTTTGCGTTCATCTTCAAGCGGTTGATGGTCAACCCAGGGCCGCGGGATAGGACTAGAAATGTGATGCTAAATTTGGCTTTAGCTCGATGATGTTAGGCCTCGCTATGGAGGTTAGGTGAGATGAAGGGTGTATGTATTTCCAAAATCGCACCAAAATTGGATCGCAGTTATTTTCAATCGTCCGTGATAGTCCAGCGCACTCGAAACTAGTCCCAGTCGTCCACTTCCCACGCGGGAGATGCCATCCATAGCGCCACATCTTGTACTCCTTTCGTTTGATTCGAATAGATGAATATAGATATCTTGCTTGTCAGGGATCATTCCCATGCATGTGTTATAGAAGACCCGGTCTCTCCATATCGGCATCCTCAAACAAAGGCTAAGGACGGGGTTGGACGAGAAAAGCGCCGCGGAAAACAAACAAACGGTTGCGGATTTTGATTTTTTACAATGTACCGATGTGACGTCCCCGCTGAGGACATCCAAAATGCACGTGAAGCAAGGACCGGCTTGCCTGTCCGACTTTCTATCTCAGCGGGCTTGTCAAAGTCAAAAACGCCCATGTTTGAATCAATATATGTACCCCTAGAACGTAATGTAGCTTGTGCAAATCAGAAGAAAAGTCGTAGCACATTAAAGGCCGGGTCATCAGGTTCGAGGAGGAAGAGAAGGAGATGGTGGACTTCGGATCTCCTGTAGCTGAATGGAGGTAGACTTGTCCACCTCCACTTCTGGGGCTCCGTCCGGGGAACTGGCAGGTTTGACATTCTCTGTTTCCTGATCGACGGCGAACCGCCAGCGGTTATCGGCACCCATGAACTTACGGAAACCATATCGTTTGTTCAGGGACATGAGATGAGCATGCCGTTGGGCACTGCTCCAGGTAAGTGTATCGGTAAAATCATGAAGCATTTGGCTGTGCGAAATCCAGGGAATGATGGCTCCAATGGAGCGCGGCATTCGGGGTCCACTGAACCGGCCACGTCGTGTTCCGAACACTAAAAGCACGACTATCGTATCAAAGACGATGATGACGAGAGCGATGGAAAGTGATGGAACCGACGGAACCATGCGCCAGGTGACGCGGGTAATGGTGGCATCTGTGGCCGGGACCGGGTGAGCAAGGGGTTCGAGGTAGATATCGCGCCAAATGGAGAAGTAGGTGCTGTAGACTAATTGATATATGGTGCCAGTAATCTTGGTCAAAAGAACGGAGTCCAGGGCGTCAAAGCTGGGATCTGCGTGCTCGTACAGGCGGGCAACAAGGAAACCTGCCCAGTCGTAGGAAGAAATGTTGTACGTTCCATTCTGCATGGAAGTATTGCCAACAAAGCTGTTAGGGATAGCCGCGAAGACTTTGTTGAACTGACCGAGACTCACGGTTGCATTGTCGTACATGGTTCCATCAGCGATGGATGTTTTGGGAATAGGGCCATACGATTCGATCTGCCCCTTCTGGTCGAAAGAGATAGAATACGTTTGCAGTCTCGCCTGGGGTTCACAGTGCAATGCAATTGTATTGTTATCCGTGATCGGGGAGCTCGGCAGATAATCCCAACGGCCGACAACTAGAACCGTCGATGTCTGGCAGATGTCCGATTCCTCGGTGTCATCTGGAGACAAGAAATGAATAGATAACAAGATTCCTTCCTCTTTGCTCTTTAGTGGTGGCATGCTTGCCATACATTCCATGGAGGAATTGTCAAATAGTTCATATCGCCAATATGAGAGACCTGTGATTTTATCATAGACAAGGGAGTCCAACGAAAGTGATTGACACTTGAGCTCAGCTCCAACCCCAAGCGTTGAGGCGCTGTAAGTCACGTCTGGGTCGGGATTGGACACGTGCAATGGGACAAAAGATTGATCTGAGCCAGTCCAAGAGAGCATAGGTGATCCGCTGCTGATGCTGCTCTGAATCAAATCATACTCAGTAAATTCTGCCGCGAAGTCAGTCTGCCAGAATACAGATTGGCTGTAGTTCATTGACAAATCGCTGGTCTCCAATGTTGAGCTTGTCAATACTTGAGTGAAAAGCGCACCCGCAACCACAGTTAAAGCCATGTTTAAGACGCACGCAGTTGAAACAAGACACAGCAAATGTTGCCGGTTCCGAACTGTTTTGAAGAAGATGGCGAGCGGACTTTGAGACGAGTAGTTCAGTGACAACGACGTCCTCGCCGAGGCATTGCCGCGTTGCAGGTGGACCCAAGGCTCCAAGACGCTGAGGTTTCGGTGAATGGAGGTACATAGAGCTCCGACAGACGATGCGACGACGGATGGTAGACAGGAAAGGATAACCTGGAATGCGCTCGAGTCTGATTGGGTCATGTGGCTAAAGCGGCCGTTTCGAAGCAAAGAGGCGACCACTAGTACAATGAGGATAATCACCCCAGCTAGTGCCAAGAATTCAACAAGGAAGAAAGGAATTACGAGAAAGTGAGGCATCGGATCAACTCGGGTTTTGAGATTTTCGCCAAGCTGGACCGGGGAGCCTAATGACACAGTCAGTTATTATGCTCGAGGATGAATAGGATTCGAACGGCCGGGTGGTACAGACCATCTTCGGCGACAACATCCAGCCTGTTACCAGAAGGACCAGGTCGCCAGTAACACCGTGCATTTTTGAAGATGCGACGAAGTTGCCGAGTGGAGAATTGATGAAGTTCAGCCAGTGGCTCTGCGAGTATGTTGGACGGGTGAAAAATATCGGCGACAATACTACACATGGCACCTATGGAACCTGGGTCGCTTTGGAGAAACAGTTCACGTGAACTATACATGTAAAGGAGGTAAACTGTAGTCAAAGTGGCTAGGGCAAGAATGAGCTCGGACCAAAGGGCAGCAAAATCGACGACAGCGATAGCTACTTTGTTCGACACGCGCTCGGCCGGGAGGTCCTTGGGTACACTATCAGGGTCAAACATATGACCGAGTGTGAGGATGAAAGTCTGCTTGACGTCCCGCGCAATCTTGAATTCGAATTCACCCTTTGTCATGACAGTCGATGTGTCGAGCACTAACAGAGGCTGGATATCCCCCAGCTCCTGGCTGATGATTGGGAGTTCTGTAACTGTGCGATCCCCCGCGGTAGCATTTTCGTGGATGAAGAGCATGTCACTGGTAAACGGGGCGCGTTGAGACAGCAGAGCTTGGAAATGATCAATGTTGAATTCGGCTTTCGTGAGCTCGCGGGTGGTGGCCTGATCGACTTTAATAGATATTATGGTGGTGTTGGAGTGCATAGTCACTTGAGCTTCCGCTTTGTGATAAATTATGTCACAGGCAAAAGCCGTACCAGACGCGGAGTACTCGGTTGCGGTCGAAGTCGAGCTTGGACTGGTGATATTGACTCCGATGAGCATACCATATAGATCATACGGATCACAGCCAAATTCCGTGAAGGCCTGGGTTCGGTTTGGAAATGCTTCTTTTGTTGCAGCACTGATCATCGGCTCCCAATAACGTATTTGGAGGTAATCAGTGCCAGGGAAAAAGACACTCTCGTATTGAAAGTCGAGTGAACATTTCGTGTCCCCTCTATTCGCATTATCCACATCAATGCTACTGGCGTTCCAAGAAATTGTTGGATGAGCGTCCTCGGGCTCATGGATAGCAACGGTGAGCGTATCCCCAATAAGGACATTCTCGCATGAAAGATGCGCCCAATAAAGCGTCTGGTGCACAATCCACATCGTTCTGTCGTCTCGCTCGCTATCAGGAATCTCCACGGGCGCCATGGCGTATTTGGCGGATCGGGACCGGGATGATAATTCATTTGAAGAAAAAACGTCGTGAAGAACACCGGCTTGCATCGAGATCAAGTTTGCTTGTGTGTCCAAATCCACCAGGTCAGACCAGCTTCTTATGGTGCTGTCGTCGATTACCGTCACCTCGCGTAGCTCAAATACCGCGCTCTGCAGAGCGGGAAGAATCATTCGGACCAAGAGCGTGACAAAGGAAACCCAGAACACTACCCAGTGGCGGCGGATCACGGCATTGATCGGCGTGAGAATAGTTTGGCCGAAGTTATAGTTGATGAAAAGAACGGTCGCTGGCGCTCCCTCGGGTCGGGATAATTGAAAATAAGGTTCCAGCCGAAGAACATCGAAATCCGTCACGGTCCAGGCCAAGATGAGTATGAGGGAGATGATGATAGGGAGGTAGTTGTAAGCAAAAGATTGTGCGTCGTTGACATCTTCCGTGCATTCAAAAAAGACCAATCCCCCCTCGCGATCGCTATACCGCCGCAACCCTTCTAGGGTCAACAGCATCGTTAACATCAAACATACAAGAGAGAGCAGATATGGCGGGCGCAGAGCCAATGGGCGCCAACCTCGAGATTGGGAGCAGAATTGTGGCAAACGGAACGGGGCAAAACGACCTGATTCTCATCTCAATTAGCGCATGTTCGTAGACTCCGCGAGGTTCAACTGGTAACGCGAAAAAGGGAAGGGACGTCAGACAACACCCAGCACTCACCTGAAAGTCGAGCCCAGAGCCCTACCCCATCACTACCGGACATGCTGGATGATGTCCCAAGGGCGGACAATGTGCTTGACACGGCCGGAGGGCATTGCCAAATCAAGTTTCAACCATTCAACAAGACTTTGATGTAAACACAACGAGCCATGATTCCACAAACGGGATGAAAAAAAACAAGGTTCAAGAAGACAAAACACAACCCCCTAAAAAAAAAAACAATCGTGAAGCCAAATGCGCAAAACCGGATGAAAAAGATCGACTAGGCGAAAGCCACGAATGCGAGAGGGATCTGGGACATGACGAAGGAGAAGGGGAGAATCGATTTTGTTGTGGCTGTGCTGTCTGTGCCAGTACCCGCATGTGGGGCGGAGCAATCATGCTTCTTAACAGGACCCCGGTCGACTAAATGTGGAGTACAAATTTAATATGGACCAAAAGCTTTGTTGACTTAAGATCCTCCTAATCTGGAGTTTCTCCATATGCGAGGAGGGTGCGGTGAGGTTTCAATTTCATCTTCTGGTATATTCTGATTGCGATCTACCAGCATGATTGAACCCAAAGACCAGTGTTTGTCCCCAATTCAAACGAGTGGCATTTGACGAACAATAATGGATGAGTAACGATTTAAAAGAATCTGGGTGACGATCCTGTCAGAATTTACATGGATCTATTGGTTGGCGAAGTCTGGTTCAGAGTATAAAAATTTGAGTAGGTTTGTATCCGTGGTCTACATGGTTGTGGTTAAGAATTTGTCTGATCCATCTCCACTCTACCATATGTCGGTTGAATTTTGCGAGTCAATCATCGAGTCCTGCAAGGCTGGGCATCGGCATGCCGAATTTATAGATAAGTGGAGACCTATAACCACAGTGCTAGAATTGAGTAGAACATAAATTTGAGTACTCCGGACATGGATGGTCAATCAGGAAGTTTGAATTTCAATTGGTCATGCTTTGGGGGAGCGCAGTGAGAACGAAGAAAGAGACTCTACAATCTAAAGCACCTGGTGAAATTCAAGATGTCATAAATTGAGACGTTTACAAAAATTCTCGCTTTCCGGTGCCTTGTCAATACGGTTGGGTTTGAACATCCTTTCACAAAGGCAAGTGTACTTTATAGCTTTGACTACCTCGAGATAATTCCGTGATTCTCTATTTAGAAGCTTACTTAATACTCCTTACTTTCGTCAATTGAATTTCAATCCGTGGTTACATTGTTTCGTAGACTAGCCGACTCAACCCCCCTTACAAGGTACTTTTGTGCCATTAAAAAAGCCTATGCAACTTCACGTTAACTTTGTCATCTTTCGGTGGTCTCTAGGGGATCTTTAAGTGCTGTTTGGGTGCTGCTTGGGAGGGTTTTCGAGGTTAGGATTGATGGGGCTTTCATTTAAACATTAGAGAATGGTGAGCATAGCTGACTGGAGCTAGATGCATTATGACAGCATTAAGAAAAAGGCTGACTTTTGCTTCATCTTGATCGATTCATTTAGCCTCTATGGTGTGTAATTCATTTGTCAATGGAGTGTTGGTTGTTGGTTTTCCTTCACTCCCTGTGGGGACCCCTTGTTACTTATCTGTATTGTCAGTGTTTTCACGGTTGCATCGTTGGCTGGGGGACTGAAGCTCGGTCCTGGCATATAGAGCTCGCAACCAAATAAGGTATTGAGCTGGATTTCCTTCAAGTGCTGGTTCTTGTCCACCGCGTGCTCCCATTTACATCAACTCGGCTTTCCTCGACGCGACGCAGATGCTGATCTCGACGTTTCAATTAGTGAATATTGAGCAACTACATTGCCGAACTGTCTTTGAATAAAATAATAGAGAAATGGTTGTGTCTCTCTGCTTGTAAATTTTTTGTACAACAACGTAGCTGACATTGGAGGGGAAATGGCCGTGGTCTTGGCAGTCGGAGCTTTCCCCGAGAGCTCTCGCTCCAAGCACTCGCTCCCCTCTTGTCACTCCTCACATACTTTGAACCCCTCTCTTCCTCTCCTCGGTCATGGGTATTTTCAGCAAATTAATCAAGACAACCGTCGCAGGCAGCATTGCCTCGGTCGGTGTCTTCTGGGGCGCCACGCGCAATGATATTTTCGAGACCATGGACAGCTCCGATCCCATCTTCCAATCGGCCTTTTTCAAAAAGTTCAACCCGAGTAGCAACCCAACTCTCCATGACATCTGCGTTCGTCGGATTCCCCTAGACAAGATTCGGCCCTCATTAGTCGAGGAGAAGGGCAAATTGGTGGAAGCTTTCTGTGCCGGTGTCTGGGGCGGCATGGGTAAGTCCTACACTGGGATAACCAGCCTTGTCACAATGCCACAGCTCTAATTTGTTTATCTTCTCTCTAGGATACATTCCCCAGCGTGCCTTCCTTGAACGAAAGTACCGTGGCCCCGAAACTGCCGACCACCTCTGGAACCGATCGGATCTCCTCTCAAACAACTACGAAGTAGGAACCATCATCACCGACCACTTTGAAGTCGTCGAGAAGACAGAAGACCGCATTCTTGTTCGTTGCGGTGACTCCCCACGCATTCGTGAAGTCCGTCCCTCCGATGGTCTCTTCGAAATCGCTGCCGTGGTCAAGCGGGATCAAGGCGTGGCTGAATTCAGTCTCAAGAGCTGTTTCTACCAGGGTCTCGGGAAAGCGGAAGCTGCGCCTATGGATGAAAAAGTCGCTTGGGCACACCGCCAGTACACTAAGTTGCTCCTGGAAACCGCTGTGCTGAAGAATTGTATCAAGTGAGGTGAATTGGAGGACCTCTCAATCTCCCGTGAGACGGAAGTTGTTGGCTTATAACTGATCTCAAACTCTTCGGTTGCGACATGCCTTATATATATCTACTCATGTATCCCTAAACGTGGTCTAAGGTCATCCGAATCTTGGTTCAATCCGAACAAGCTGATCTGCAGTGTCAATCTTCCCCCGGTTTCTGTATGCTTCTTTCCATATAGCTTTCTTCGACGGCAAAGATCTTACACTTTCCCTACCCATGAGGTTCATATGCAAAGTCTCAGGTCTTCAGTACCTCCAAGACTCCTCCGTCTCTGTGAATTCTTCCGCCTCCACTGCGGGTGTTTCTTTAATCACTAGTCAAAGTGATAGCCAAGACGGTTGAGACTACCAACCAATCATCCCATGCAATGTCCCCACTTCATAGCGAATTGAGCCATTGTGGGCTTCTCCGTGGTATTGGCCAGTCACGCCATTGCACCACCAGTGCTCTTCCAGTGCTCTGGAAAGTTTCGTACGCTCGAACTAGAACGGCAGCTGCGGCTGGGAAATCGAACTAGGCAACCCACGGGCCAACAGCGAAATGATCAACCCAACAAGAATCCACTCCGGTCCCTTGCTAACCGCTCCTACCCCACGCGATCAAGATCCCTTCATTGAAGCTCTACCTTGGGCCCTTTCTGGGCCATTTCTGGAAGAAGAACCCCACCTCACCTTATTTGCAGAACTTCGTCAGGTTTCCCGTATTGGCATCGAACTCGGGAACTGGAGTGATATGAGGCACTTGGCTGGCATAGCGCTAACAGGTACCGGATCCAGCTCGAACAGAAACTTCACTGGACTTTTTAACTCTTCTCAATTACTCGCGATTTTACATAGGATCCACCATTTGACGGTCCATAGATTCTCCGCCCCGTTATCAGCCGTGTGTTGCAACATGGTACTCGACAGAAGATAATCAAAGAAAGTAAGTGGGGACACCAGTTTGAAGACGTCCTATATCATCTGGAAAGCGTCTAAGGAGGTTTCTGATTTCGAAAGCTGCTGTAGATGGCCGTTTCGATGTTGACCGTGGTGGATTTTCTTATCGTGAAATTGTCTGATCCATAAATCAACGCTTTACTTGAGTTGTTTGGATAAAATATCGATGCATGTTGCCTAGCCAGGTTTGTTATTTCCCTCTTCTTTTGCGCCTACTCAGTAATTACAACATAATGGACTGTCATTGGGGCGATGACTTGCATAGGCGGGACACATCCATCCACGCACAACGGCCTGGAGGATTTGAAATCACCGTCGATTGGCCTACAGAGTACGGAGTACTGATGATTCGGATGCCCAATTCGTAGACCAGGTGGCTAGCACTGAATATGTGCTTCTACTCCATGCGCGAGTGCCGTCGGGCCCGCCAACAGCGAAAAGGTGTTCGCTAGCCCCCCATGACGATCCAGAGCGGCTCCCAAACCAAGCATCCAGTTGGTCGCGTTGAACGTAGCATCTAATACACGTAGGCCCTCTTGTCACACTCTCTTGACGTACCCTGCCATGCCAGCTCGGGGCGAGAACTTGCGCTTATGCAAACCCGTCACAGGTACTACATATGGTATTCTTTCAAATGGATACTGGAAACAATCCATAAATCACTAAAAAAAAGGGTTGATGTTGGTTACCAGTAGTGGTATTTCCGAAAACAAAAGTAAGTAGGAGCAGTTGTATTCGCGTCCCTTCTCGCCCGAGCTGGCACAGCAGGGTATGGCTCAGCCTTGCGAGTTTCCAGTCTCGCAGCAACGCGGGGTTTGTGGCCTGTCACGTAGTATCTGCCGGATAACCTGCATGATCGACAACCAAGAAAATCCTTCAACCTACCAGCGCATACGAAGAGTCCAAATTCCGATATTGGACTATCAGCCTGTCAGAACCTACGTTGCTGCCTAGTAGGGGTTCAGGAGGGTAACCCCCCCTGGGAGAGAAATCTCTCTGTCCCCTCGTTCAAGTTGACCTTTACAACGATTCAAGTCCCCATCTGGTTCCCCCGCATCAACTTCTTGACTTCCCCACCGTCTGCTTTCTCTTAGGTGAATTTGAATTGAATCCTCATTTCACTTTTGTCAACCTATCCAAAATGGACCACCTCCGTGATTCTCTGCTGAGTTCTCTGCCTAGAGACACACCTTCTACCGCAACGATTGACCACACTCGCAGAGACCAGGAAGGTACACGCCAGTCTATCACTCGGGGTGAGTTCCAAGAGGTCCGAGATATGGCCTTTGGTAACCGGACCTGGGTCGTTACGAGCCGATACTGCGATATTGGAGATGGCGTCGACTCTCTTGAAGGCCACATTCATTCCCTGTGGTACATGTACTACGAGCTTGGCCGAAATATCTCCTCTGAATCACCTGAGCATGAGGGAATCGTCCTCGATATCCTCCGCATTCAAGGAATGGGACCGTTGACTAGACCTGCACGTGGAGTTCATGGGATTGATATCGCAAGAACCGTCGACGGTACACTATGGACCGATCTTCCTTTCTTAGTTGGCGATATGACCAATTTCTGGCTTAACCACGGTGCTGCAATGTCGGGAACACACCGTCTCAACTTTGCCACATTCCTGGCGAAACTTGCGTCCACTCGTGTCGCCAAGGATAGGCTGTGTCAGGTGGCTCTTCTGATCTTCCGTCCTCTCTTTGAAAGTTCTCAAGTACTTCGCACTGGGGAAGAGTCGGACGAGGAAGACCTCAACCGAGGTACTAAGCAACTTGAGGTCTTTCATCTACTGCCAGCTGCTGTTGCTTGGCTGAAAATAGCAAGCCACAACCTCCTTTTGCTATCAGAGGTGTATTGGAACGACTGTCCTAGCCACATCAGTAAGGGTGGTGAGGAGTTTCTTGAATCTGAGCTCGGAAAGCGGTCACCTGCCGGATTTTCTCCATGGAGATATATGTTCTGGCTGAAGCGACTTCATGAGATTCAGGAAGAAGCCAAGGGGGCCGATGAGAAAGCCCTGGAGGAGCTGGCCTCTGATGGCATCCAGTACATGATCAACACAATCGTGCAAACGAATGCTGAGATCCTCAGGGCTTACAAGAATGGTGGCGATGCCCTGCATCAGGATAAGCATCTTTCGTGCCTGAAGTCCCTGGCACGCGTTGAAGAGCCAGAGTCGGAAAGACTTGGATGAATTCTCGAAGGAAAAGTCGAAAATACCATGTAGACATCCACCCTTCCTCTCTTTCTTTCTCGGCCTCTTGAGTCTCCAAGTTGAATGGCACTCTCTCTGCTCCTCACTTTCAATCTTTTTAAAATCAAATCAACATCGGGTCTGTCTTACAGTATGAAGCAGCGGAACAATGGAACAGAATTTCATTTCTAAACTTCACGTCCACAATAAATCTCTCCCCTTATCCTGGAATAGTGCTTCTTATTGGTTGAAATTAGACGCACTCGGTGACTATCTGTTATGAATGGGGGCGATTCAGCGCGCTCGCTATCCTAGACGGATGGAAAGCCAGCCGTTTCTACCCGATGTTGTCAAATTTTGTTCTTTTTGTCAATCCTGAAGTCCTCCTGATTCCTTTGCCGACTAACCAATCCACTCCAGCGATCCTGAGATTGAGAAGAGATACAAGTCCGTTGTCCGACTTTTCTTCTACCTTCTTAGTCAAATGTCACGTAGGGCCTAAGTACCATGATAATTCCATAGCCTTGAGGCTTGAATGTACTCACAGCTCCGTCTGTAGTTCCTCAGTACAGCCAGACAATGCGTCCCTGCCCACTTCAATGATTTCTGAGACTATTTACCATGCGAAGATAAAAGCTAGCCTTCGTGATACAAGTCTGTTCAGTTTGGCCTTTCTATTTTAGAGAACTTTTGACGAATATACAACATATCTACTGTTTGGATTAAGACCCCGAGATTATTTCAGCCCCAGAGAATCGGATCGGACCACAAACGACGTGGCGCATGAGAAGGAATTGATCGCCAGATGTGTCGCTGATATTAATCTACCGCTTCAAAAGGCTTGGTGCATGAATTCCACCGAATGCACTATTATTCCAGAGCAGAGTGCTACAAGGAAAAGAAACGGGGTTTCTAATTCATGGTTTCTTTTTCTTACACTGCCGTCTCCAGTCATAATTCTGTCTGGATCCTGCCAATCTTTTTTTAAAGATCACCATTGTTGAGACATCACGTTGTCGTTTATAGGATTCACTATTTGTTTTGAGCCGGCCCACTTGCTTGTGAATTACGTTACATACAGAGCATTGCGGACTGAAATTGATGCACCCGCCCACGAGGTGCTTATTCCCAAGGTTTTTGCGAGCCTCTGGCGGATATGCAGCTAATTCTCGCCACTTGCTTGTTTTGTACTTGTATATCCAGATCTTACTTACTTTCACTTTGCCCTAGTTCGTCGGACTTTCACCCCAAGCTTGCAGCAGGCCACAAGGCTTTGCATGCAGGGACTGCGGTTCGACCGATGGGGGCAGATCAGCAGTATCTTTAGCATTGAGCCAATGAAAGCGTTGTCGATCCTATACCCCGCATGTATAGGATGCTCCTCTATCTGGGGATCTGAAGGTCACTCCTCTTCCAACATCACCGAGGATGTAAGGTCACCCAGAACTTCAATATTTTACTATCGGATTGGTTGCTTCAATCCTTCTGCATGGGGTATCACACCCCAACGTGATACAATTACCAATAACTCAACTGTTTCACCTAAAAGATCATACCAACTAACGAGTTGAGTTCATTTGGATTTATGAGGCATACCTTTTATTGGACAGCTTGGATATCTTTCGACCACAGTTCCAATGATTACTGCACTATTTTCGAGGACAGTACTTGTCATATATTGTAGGAAGCATCCGGCAATTTCTATATAAGATACCTTCGCGGCGCTCCAATTTACAAAGAAACGATCGCATTAACATTACTTCTCTCTCAACTACCATACCACAATCTTCGATAAGACCACACTTTCACGATGCAGATTACCAGCATTGCCATTATCCTCTTCACCGCAATGGGCGCGGTTGCCAACCCCATCGCGACCGCGTCGGACGATCTTGATGCCCGAGACGTACAGCTCAGTAAATACGGAGGAGTAAGTTTTTATGATATGCTGATTGAGATAATATTTAACTTTGCGAACCACTCTATAGCAATGCAGTCTGAAACACAACACGTGCACGTACCTGAAGGGTGGAAGAAACGTTATTGTCAACTGCGGTTCGGCTGCCAATAAGAGGGTAAATTTCGATCCAATTCCGGGCCATTTGATCTGTTGTTAACGTTTGATCTTCATCTATAGTGCAAGTCTGATCGCCACCACTGTGAATACGATGAGCACCACAGGAGGGTTGACTGCCAGACTCCAGTTTGAACCAACTATACAGTTCCGCAAGAAGCAGAATCCTTGGCTTTTGATTATTCTCTAGCTTATCAAAGGCCCGAGATGGTTCGTATCTCTCTATGCGAATGATTTACGTCACAGGGGGCTTGGAACAAGCCGTGGATTCTGTCTGTGTTGGGGTGATGTATTCGTACATTCCCAGTGTTTCTCTGTGTTTACCATTCTCGTTACCACCACACTCTTTCAGTATCTAGCTAGCTCTACTTTAATCGATGTTTTGTCCATTGAATGCCAATTCAAATGAGTCATCTTTATAGTAGAAGGAGCATTTCTGGCAGTTTTCAAGGTTGTTGGTCAGCTGCACAATGCTCCCCGAAACTGGTGTCACCACTTACACTCTTCAATGGTTTTACGAATCCTAACATCTAAGATACGCTAGTCTATATCCAGGGACCTTTCCGGGTATGACTGTGAGTGGGGTCCATGTTGTTTTAAAGGGCAACCAGGACACATAGCGGGGTGTGCGCACTGTTCGCTTGTAACATTGATACACCTAACCCCTCGAAACCCCACTGCAAAAATCATCGTTCTTGGTACCCATAGATCTTTTATTAACTACGGAATTGAAAAATTACCCACACCTCCTAAGCTGGGCGCCATTTCATTGGTGAATGTTGCAAGAATTTCAGGTACATCTTGCCAACTCCCATAGTACTGTTTTTTTTTTGGGCTTTTTCTTGTTCACTCCCACACGCCGTGGGACTAGAAGAAAATCAGTCCGATGGGACTACAACATATGTTGAGCGTATTGTGTTAGGGACTACGTTATTCAAGTAAAATTTATCGCCTGACTGGGTACTAGAATAAGGTCTTGGCATCGAGCCTGAGATTTTACACCCGCCAAGAAGTCTTGGCGGAGGGGTCTTGGCGCGAGCTATCAAGGTCTATCTCCATGGCTGACAGATGATTTAGCGGACTGGCCATTAAAGTTAAGATTCAAAGAGCTTGTTTGAGTACTGTCGCGGCACTATTACCTATCCTCCAACATAGACCGTTTTCGTGCTTAGTAACTCACGGTCGCCTCACAGAAGGGGTAACGTTAAATGACTTTGTGATTAATGTCAGGCCTCGCTCGATCTATAGCAACCATCTGTTCTTCGGATGTTCCTACTGCCAACCAAACACCAGGAGCATGCTTAGGTCCCGGCTACATGAGACGTCTAATTTGAGAATCTAGGCGCTATAGTTCACACGTGAATGAAATCTTGAAAGCTTCCCTAGTAGTTTGGTATTAGCAAAACTACATAGCTTAGAGGAATTGACCTGACACGTTTTGGGATAGGTTATGATTGTTTCGAATAGCTCCCCTCTGCCCCACGAGCATGTTAATCTTTCATTCCTAACCGGTCGTAGACTGGCGGATGAAGACTGCCTTACCTTTCTCTATTGATCTCTTTTAGCCTTCTCGAACCTTGTATCTTGTCTGCCACATTTTTGCTCAAATTCAAATCCCAAACCTGCTCAAACTTCACTGCCTGTTCTATGTCAACACTGGAACTGCTTCAATCACCGACTCCATCGCCGGGCTCTGATTCCAAATCCCCGTGATTTCCAGCCCTGCACTATGCAAGAGATCTCTCCACTGTTGCTCTGACCGCTCAACACCCGCCCCGATACTCATCATCTGAATATCCAACGAAGCCTGCATCAGGGGCGTATTGGTATCTGGCAGGACAAAATCCACAATGAGAATTCTAGAATAGTCCGGTGCCATCGCTTGCACCGTATTCAGGAGAATTTTGCGACTAATTTGATCATCCCAATCATGGAAGATAGAACGAAAGTAGTATGCACGGGCACCTTTGACGGGTTGAGCATCCATGAAATTGTATCCCATCACCTCGATTCCTGCGCTCTGACCGTCGACTCCATCAATCACCTTTGGTAAGTCCTGCAGGACCATTCTGCCCGGCAGATGACAATATTGTCGACGGAATTCGCCCAGATCGTGCCCCTGGTTTCCACCAATGTCTACCAGAAAGACGGTATCGTTGAATGGCACGGCATGGCCAAACAGTCGCTCGACGGGGTATATATCGTACCACATCGGTCTACCCTCGCGACGGCTAGCCATGTACGAGTTGAAAAGCTTCTGCTGCTCCGCGTGACTCGCAAGCCACTCAAACTGACTCTGTCCAACTGCCCATTGCATAGGCGACTTGGTATAATCCTGGGGATTGGCATAGCCATGTGAGCGCAGGTACTCTGGAAGCTTGCTCAAGGTTGGAATGGTGAGGTCATATCTTAACGAAAGGTCAGTGAGCAAACGTGCGAAGCGATGCAAGGGTCCAAGCCACCATCACCAACATACATGCATGGGATTCCATCTCTTCCAATCGGTTGCGTTAGTGCCACCGTCTTGTCATTGGCAACATACACCTCGGGAGTTGGTGTGATGCACAGCCCAAGAGAAGCCATAACGCGCATCATTCGGACTACATCACACGGTTAGGCGATCCACAATGTGTAACGATTGTAATTTGCAGGAAAAGGTACCAATAAGATCTTTTTCGGCGCCCGTATACTCTGCCAGCTGAGCGGCTGACAGTCCCATTTCTCTGTGTCGCTGCTCCACGAGCACGGGGAAAATACCCAAGTCAATGACAATGCGCAACGCGGCATTTTGAGGAGGCTAGAATCAAGTCAGAACAAAAAACTCGATTCAGGTCGGTAGAATTGTTTACCTGATAAATCAGACGCAATATGGTTTCTGTCGGCGTTTCTACCGCGGACCTGAGCTGGTCGACGATTCGCAGTAGCTCGAAGTGGGCTTGTGGAGATGAATCTGGGGTTTCTTTCAAGGCCATTAGGCCAAGACGATTAACCAAACATTGAAAGGGCGTAGTGATTGTCATTTTTGCGGTTCAAGAAAAGAAAACACCGATACACAGTGTCGAATGATTTGCTTCGAGTAGCACAAGCTGGGATGAAGGAACTATTTGACTGGATCTCGATTGCATCTTATAGTCCCCGGTGCTCCCCTTGGTAACAGTGACATCGGAAAAGGTAAGTAGACCAAAGACCCTTGTATCCATCTGTGCTCAATCCATTCCTCTAACATACGAATGCAATCGAGGTAAGTTGATCCCGAAGATAACTGAAAACCGGGGCACATCGTTTCTAGACGTCCCCCCCCCCATTCTATCATTCATAGCACATCGTCTGAATGTTCCGCATTTGACAGAGGAGCTGAACTGATTGAGGTGATAAAAGGTGTACATGCTTACTCTACGGTGTACGATTTGAATCCGGACCATCTGTAAGTGGTGAACTTTCTGTACTCACTCCTACATTGTAATTTTATTTTTCTCCAAAAAAACCAGGAAATCACTGAAATCCAAGCACGGAAGCAGAAATCCCACGTTGGTGTGCGGTTGTGATCTATAAGAGCGGGAAGAAAACCACTAGTTACTGCTGGTTCCAGATCAACCTCCAAAAACATTACAGCGATGCATTCTCTTCCTAAAGCCCGTATTGAAGACAACTCGCGATGGAAGCCAGCTATAGCAACAGTTAGTTTGGGAGCCGCGAATTTACACCCCATCATCGCCAAACTCGATGCTGTCGCCCTCAATGGCCAACAAGGACTTGAACTTTTCCATGATGATATAGCGCAGCTCGCCAGGACCCTTCGCGCGCATGCAACTGATCTTGAACTCCGCACTGATCGAGACTATGAAATAGACGCAGCGCACGCTATCAGGGATTTATCTGCTGAGCGTGATCTGCAGATTGTAGCTCTCCAACCTTTCCGACACTACGAGGGTCTCCTTGATCCAGAACGGCATGCGGAACGCATTGATGAACTCAAGCATTGGGTGCAATTATGCAAGATCCTTGGTGACTCACTCTTCATCCTGATCCCATCATCTTTTCTCGATGCCTCGGAGATCACCTCCGACAGAGAGCGTCTCGCAGCCGACCTAGCCGAGGCCGCAGATGTAGCATTCCCCGTGCGCATTGCATACGAGGCCCTGGCATGGGGGACATACATCAACACTTGGGAGGACTCATGGGATGTGATCAAACGGGCCAATCGACCCAATCTCGGCATCTGTCTCGATACATTCAACATAGCAGCGCGAGTGTGGGCCGACCCCACCGCCGCAACAGGCCGACTTGGCCCAAGCGCAGACCGAGATCTGCGGGAGTCGATGGTCCGGCTTATACAGGAGGTTGACCCGGACCGAGTGCTGATGGTTCAACTTGCCGATGGCGAGCGGGTTGAGCCACAAACGCCCTTTCTTCAAGCACCAGGCCTACCTACTCTACTAGCCTGGTCACGGAATGCGCGTCTCTTTCCGTGTGAAGAGGATCGGGGTGGATACCTTCCGATTCGCGAGGTGACGGATGCTTGCATCAACGGCTTGGGTTATACCGGGTGGATCAGTATGGAGGTCTTCTCGAGATCGACCTGGGAAGATAACCCGGCCGTGCCGATGGAGCATGCCGCCCGCGCCAGTCGGTCCTGGCTGAAGGTCCTGCGAATGTTGAAAGAGAAGCTGGAGAAGCGGTCCCTCTAGGTATTGGATAGCTTGAAGATCAGCACGTTTTGTTTCAGTCAATGTAATTCTGCATTTTTAGGTCCCGTGGGTGGAACCCTACGGAAGAACACCCAACCAATGCACAGCAATGATTTTCTTGATAATAACATCAGGCAGTGCCTTGCCATCTCCTTCAACAAACCCTGTCGAAAATAGTAGCCTGGTTCTGAATTTTGATAAATTGCAGTTATGCTCGGTGCCTACACACATACCCTCCTGAGCTCCCTACGATCCGAGTGTTTTAGATATCAGGGATCTTTGTTTTCAATAAAGAATTCACTAAATACTGAATACTTACTAGGATATGAGAAATGCTATGCCGAATCAAACAATCGGGTATATCTCCTTATATCGGAGCGCCGCAGGGTCATTCCCGGTACGTGGAATGTAATGTCTAGGTCTATGTTCAGAGACCTACCGAGTCGAGATAAAAGAAGATTAGATGAGGTCAGAACTATAAGAATAGTGGGTCCATATTCTTGAGAAGAGTCCAGAAATGGTTCTCAAGAATGCTTATACTACCCCTAGGACCAAGTGTAGATCAGAACTCCACAGGGCTTTCCCGATTTCCTGGATGCTTCACCCAGCCCGTTCCCGATCCGATCATTGGAGTAAAGTCTCCATACCAGCCCCGGAGATGATTTCGAAAACTACTAGAATACACTTTATTTGGATTACCTTTCAGTTGGCGCATCTTCCAAGGTGCTAGCTCCTCGTTGCGACACTCCGCTGCCATCCCTTATCTAGGGGCGGAAATGGATTTCTCATCCAGCATACGCTTTCAAGTGAGTTATTCTTGAACCTGACCGTTTGCTCCTTACCTGTGTGGAACACTCCTAGTCTAATTTAGCAGTAGTAAAAGAGTAAGCACGGTACAGTGAAGCGGTTCAACAACGCTGGAATGTATTAGCCAATGAAACTCAGAGCCAACACTTCCTCGGGGCATATGTTAACACAGCGCTTTGTGTATCCCTTTATGATGATACCCAAGCTGTTCCAGACTGAAGACTGACGTTCACCGCCGTCCTTAGTTACACTGACTTGCACGGGTGGTTTCAAAGTCCCAGCTCCGAACCTAGCTCTAGCAAGATACATCCCTGTGATGTTGCAACTAATCCTCACCTTCAAATTCGATCTGAAAAGTTACGATTCCATCCGGTAATAGGTAGAAATGTCTTTAGACTCTCCAACGGGGTTTTCATCCTGACTGAGGCGGATGCGTCTCGGGCAGCTCGATATTTCAACGATTGCCGCTGGTCGCGATCGAAATTCAACTCCGAAGATGGAGGGAAATGCAGAATGTATGCATTTGGTTAAAGCTAGATGGCTGATGACTCCCCCAAAGCTGAATTTTGGTCACTAGCGAGGTAGCCAGTTAGTGACCTGAGTCACAGTAGATCGAGTAGACCAACCCTGACGTTAACAGAACGCCAATGTTGGAATGTCAGCCGATGGAATCTCTGGTCTCAAGCAGAGTGTTTGCTAGTGACACAAGCAAGTCGCTCAGCGAGTCCGTGTGCATTGTAATTGTGCTTTTGTACAACATACATGGAGTGTGTGCTCTCAAATCCCAACTATTCATCATGCGCCGTGATGACTTGCGTTGGTATGTGCATAAATATTATACCAGGGCACCCGATTCTTTCGTTTGATACTGCGCTAATTCCGTGTGGATATTCTCCCGATGTAGAGGGACCTTCTTTTGCCGGGCATCCCGAATGCAGCCAGTGTCGGCTACTCTGGGAATATGAATCCGTGACGCTGTCTCAACGTCCAATAGGGCCTTAAATATGGCTTGATCCTATATGTCGCACTGGAATCAACAAGCTGCCATGGTACCGTTCTTCTCGTTCTAACAGTTCTGTACTCATAATGGGCATCCAAAGTGGAAGCCAGGCAGCACAGGCTGGTCCCTCCAGCAATATCAATCCATTGGTTCAGGAGTTCGGATCGCTTCAGGTCCTTGAAGACTTGATTCACTTGCGAGCCGCTGATATTATTCAGCAACCTATTCTGGCATATCCTCGTCTCGAAAATGATCCGGCTTCCTATGAATACTATACCGGGAAACGTTTAGATGCTATGATAAACCTGGCTGCCATCAGGCTTATGGATGATGGATTCAAACAGGTTGGTCATGAATCGCGCGATGTGGTGGCAGATTTATAACAAAGCAATGGCTAGGCAACGAAAAGTCCATCCATCGTGGCTCTTCTTACCTTGTCCGACCTAAACATGGTGATCACCTTTTTTGCCCTAAGTCGACTGGGCTATACCGTCATGATGCTCTCACCGAGACTCTCGGGTGAAGCCTGCGTATCATTGCTGGAAACGGTCAACTGCGAGTCAATCATATATGGCCAATCCCCCAACATCCGCTCAACGTTGGGCGATATTCTTCGCCGGAGGCTAGTAAGCTGCCGGCCAGTGCTGTCATGCTCTCTATACAACAAACTCCAATCGCCGTCACTTGTTCTGCATCGTAATCAAAACTCCGAAAGAATTGCTTTGATTCTTCATTCCTCGGGATCAACAGGCACCCCCAAACCGCTGTTCCTCACCCACAAAGCAATCATGACTCACCCGCTGAGAGGCCCGGGGCTCACCTCTTTTAACACCTTGCCATGGTATCACCTCCATGGACTGTCCACCGCATTGCAGGCAATGTGGATGCGAAAGACAGCCTATCTGTGGAACGCGACGCTGCCTTTGACCGCAGAGTTCGTCGCTCAAGCCCTCGAAGAAGCCAGGCCAGAGTCTGTGGCCGCTGTTCCATACATGCTACAGATCTTGATTGATGATCCGCGCGGTATAACAGCGCTAAGACAATGCAAGTTAGTTACCTACGGAGGTGCACCCTGTCCCGACGAGCTGGGCGATCGCCTAGTAAGCGAGGGTGTACACTTTGGAGGTTCATTCGGCCTGTAAGTACTATCCGGCAGATGCCCACAGTCACGCAATGATTAATAAATTTCAGCACCGAGGCAGGTCTTGTTGCAGAATCAATCTCCCGACCAAAAGATGATCCGTGTTGGAATTATCTGAAATTCTTTGACAACATCCGATCCTATGTCTGGATGAAGCCCATCTCTGCATCAGAATCGCTTTTCGAGTGCGTTTATCTTGCTGGTCATCCAGCACTAACCACCTCGAATTCAAACGAGCCACCAGGATCTTTCCATTCGAAAGACGTGTTTACCCCTCATCCTACAATTGCCGGAAGGTGGAAATACATCTCCCGATTGGATGATCGTATCAATCTGGTGAATGGTGAAAAGGTTTTACCACTCCCGATTGAAGGTCATATCAAACAACACCCTTTGGTTCATGATACAGTTGTAGTCGGGGTGGGCAAAGCTGCTCCAGGACTATTGGTTTTGCGAGCGAACGAACCGGAAGCCAATCGTCTCTCAGATGACGAATACCTCAATGCCATCTGGCCGACTATCCAAGAAGCCAATTCTCAGGCAGAGGCTTTCTCTCAGATCTCCCGCAATATGGTTGCTATACTGGCATGTGACAATCAGTTTGCTCGAACGGACAAAGGGTCCATGATCCGAGGACGGGTTTATCATGAATACAATGAGCTTATCGAAGGTCTTTACGCCGAGAAGCAACAGCTCTGTGAGAATCTTCAGCTTGATCCGGTAGAGACAGAACTTGTCCTTCTCCAAATATCCGACCAAGAACTTGGGATATCTCTCGCTGGTGTTGACGCCAATTTTTTCTCTGGCGGCATTGACAGTCTCAAGGCAATCCACTTCCGACGTCTCATTCTTCAGCATTTCAAGTTCGAACAGACCCAGACTCCTGGTCTAAATGCCATATTCGAAGCGGGCTGCATATCACAGCTGGCTCAAGATATATGTGCTTTGCAAAAAGGGGAGACAAGAAACGATGTCGAGAGTGATGTATCTGTGATGACGGGATTGATCAAGAAATACTCCGTGTTTGAAAGGCACACACCCCGACCTTATCCTTTCTCGGGGCCAACCAGTGTGGTGAGTGACTATCTTGCCGCAGAGGCTCAGTTCAAAAGCTAACAGAGCGAAGCTTTTAACAGGTGCCACCGGGTCAATTGGAGCCCATGTGTTATACGAGCTGCTCAATGACGACTCCATCTCCACAGTGTACTGTCTCACGCGACGAGAGTCATCACTGGAGGCAATACTCCGCACTCTTGTCGACAAAAATCTTTTCATATCCCCTGAGCAGAAGACAAAGATTGTTGCCTTCAACAGCCGTATCGACCAACCCGATTTTCGTACCTCTCTGGATGAACGTACGGTCAGACACATGCTCGACTCAGTCTCACTCATTATTCACACAGCATGGCCTGTTAACTTCAATCTTCCCCTGACCGAGTTCGAGCCGCACATTCAAAGACTACACAATCTGATCCAATTCTCCTTATCGGTGCGGAGTCGTGAGCCTGCCGTCCTGATGTTCTGCTCATCCGTCTCCACCGCGCTCGGATCTCGATCAGCCAAGATCCTCGAAGCACCGGTTGACTTGGATAGCGCCTTTATGGGCTATGGGCAGTCCAAGTTAATCGGCGAACGGATTGTGAGCAATGCACGGCGCAGGGGAGCAAGGGCATACTCTCTTCGAATTGGCCAGGTCTCGGGTCACTCGAAGAAGGGCCTCTGGAACGACTCCGAAGCTCTGCCGTTGATGATCCGGTCGGCGTTGACCCTGGGAGCACTCCCTGAACTATCACAGACGTGTTCCTGGCTTCCGGTGGATAAGCTTGCTTCCATCATTCTTGAACTAGCCAGGACTTGTGCTACCCCGGTTGTGTTTGGAGAGAGTCAGGCGTCCAGCTCGGCTGTGGCAGAGCATGTTGATGACTCGATTTTCAATTTGAGCAATTCTCGTGAATTCACCTGGTCGTCTTTACTTCACACGCTGCAAAATTGTGGGTTTCAATTTGATGTTGTGCCATTTGAAGAATGGTTACTGAGACTTCGTCGGAGTGAGACAAGGGGGGAGGAACTTGTCAATCCGGCGGTCAAGCTCCTTCATCATTACGAGACGATGCATGGGAAGAAATCGCCTTTGATGCAGAATGGACCAAAAACGTTTATGACAGAGAAAGCCGAGAGGAGTAGTGTGACTTTGCGAAAGGGTGGCTTGAGAATAATTGACGATGGAATCCTGAGCTGCTATGCTCAGGATTGGTTAAGGAGGTGGATGATCTAGGGAGCGAAGGGATTGAACGAGAGATAAACCATGGGAGTTTGAGAAAGAAACATAAGATTTTTTGGAATAGAGAGTAGAGGGGGAAAATAGAGAAGTCTTGATTAACTAGTTGCGCTTACTTCGTGCAGTCAGCAAGAAAGGCGACAAGGCGCACTGGGGGGCAAAGCACGGACTGAAAACAGACCGAATCCAAATCAAAAACCAAGCAGTCTACGGCCATTTCTAGGGCCCGCTGTACAATTCAAACCAAAAATTCCATCGCCCAAATTGGACAGATTCAAATGCAATCACAGAAATCTAAACAAAGAATGCAACAATGACTGCAAAGAAGAGAGCGGAGATGCTCATGGACAATCGATCGGCGGCACCGGTAAAGACCGGGCTGACGCCAGATTTAGAGCCGGAGGGAACAAAGAAACCAGATGTAGCCGAGTTAGTCTGCTTTGGCGAGACATCGGTAGGGGCAGGGATCAGTGCATTGGAGGCATTGTAAGGAACGTCGGAAACAACGGCAGGGGGAATCGCATAGGGGTTCTCCCATGAGCCACTGAAGGACTCAGCGGGGACCGAGGTGTGTTCAGCTGCAGCAGATTTAGCGGTAGAAGCAGGGAGAGATTTCGAGTTCGTGTGGCCGTGACCGGTTGGAACGGGCGTGAGGCCGGAGGTAGGGGCCACAGGAGGCGCAGAGGTCCGCGCAGAGGTTCGTGCCTCGGGATCTTGACCATGGGGTGGGGCTTGGACAGATTGCACAACTGGAGTGGGGACCACGGAGTGGGTGTCAATCGCGGATGCCTTTTCGGCCTCGGGGCAGAAGGTCTCGGTTGCAGTGACCAAAGAGGTGAATGTGCGAGTCTTCTTGCCGGTGGAAGGGTACTCGGCTACTTCAGTAGCAGGGCTTTCGGCAGTAGCTGCAACAGTAGGAATAGGCGCAGTAGGAAGATCCTGAACTGCTCCAGGGATTTTCCCTTCCTTGGGAGCGGCCGAGTGCGTCGCAGCAGCAGTGTTAGCAGCGTGGGTCTCCGCAGTGGTCTGCACTCCTACCGGAGCAGCGGCAGTCGTAGCCGGCTTGTGCTCGGGGGATGAACCGGAGGCAATTCCCTTCCCGCCGGCCTGATAGATCTTGACCGAATTGATTTCCCAGTAAGTCTCCTTGAACTGCGCGGGATTGTTGGCAACGAAATTGTGGCAGCTTTGGAAAGAATCGCCGTCGGTCATGGGGCAACCAGAATCACCATACACTCCACCTGCCCAGTCTCCACAGAAAGTGACATCAAATACAAACGACTGGGACTTGAAGGCGTTGGCAACATCACACGATTCCTCCACCAGTGCCATTGGGGTACCGAACTCGGTTACATCGGGCTGGCCGCTAGTTATCGAGGGCGGGATGGCGCTTCGGGGGAAGTACCAAATCTTGAGGAACTCGTCGGTCCACTGCAACGAATAAACTCCACCCTTTTGTTTGTTGAAAGATGTGCCATAGCTGCCTTCGTGGCCCTCAACCTTGCAACCGACGGTGCCTAGATCCTCGCCACACCCTGTAGCGTTCACCGAGCCAGTCATTTCCGTATCTGTCAAACTGCAAGTGCCGGCTGTGTGCATGACGATCTCGTTGTGTTCCTGCAAGTTGACACCCTCGATGATGTCGATCTCACCGTCTGCAGGCCAATTCTTTCCGACAGACCAGAAGGCCGGCCAGGTTCCGCAGACGCCACCAGGCATGTGCGCAATATCGGCGATCACCAGAGACTGGTCGTAGTATTTCTTGCTGCCAATGCGCACCGAATCACGGCCCCTCTTGCCTCTGGGGTCCAGCTTGGTAGCATGATCGACCCCCAGATACACACTACCGGCCTCGGTGACCTTGACGAGGCCTGTCTTTTCGGCGGTCTCCTTGTCGAGATAGTTGACAAAGCCATTTGTCGGGTCGGAACCAACGTGGAAATTGAATGAATCCAAGAAATTGTTTCCCTGCCACGTCTCCACCAGTGAATAAGTGGTGGCAGCCACGGGTGAACATAACAATGCGAACATAAGCGATCCCGCGCTCAATGAACCTGCTGAAGAAACCATCTTGTGCCGAGGTGTATAACAAACCCAGACGCTTGTGGGGTACTGAATTCAAAGATCGAAAGAAAAAAAAAGAACGATGGAGAAAGAGAGTGTGAATTATTGACAAAAACAAGCAAAACGACAACTAAATGAACGACAGACAATTCCAGATTGTCAAGGAGAAAAGAATGTAAGAGTGTCCAGCGTATCGAAGGTGGGAGGTATTTGACCCAAATACCTTTCAGCCGCCGCACCATCCCATATTGCTTTATGCTAAAAAACTGGGGATCAGTTTTTACTATCCAGTGAGAATGCATCGGTGCCTGAGACCTTTGCAGTTGAGCGCATGTCTCCAATAAGCTGCAACTCCGGAGTCAAGAAGCCCCGTGGCGTACGAGTCCAGGAGGTTAGTCCAATCAGGATGATCCATTCTTCAGAGCATTAACCTGAGCGACATGGATCAACCAGTCACTATCACGGCGGTACACAGCTCGTTTGCAAGGGAGTGTCAATCTGAAACCACCAGAGTCCACTCGAGGGGTTACCCAACCCGTACATGAAACAGAGGATGATTCGTGAATAGAGAAATCGGACCTCAAAAGGAGAGGAATAATGAAAAAACAAAAACAAAATGAAAAACAAGGGGAAATCGAAAAACAATTCCATCTTCAAGATCTCCCCGTCATTCCTCTTTCTCGTCACATTCCTCGATGTGAGATCAAATTGTCAGGTCAATGTGATGATCGGAGTTGCCACTCTCTCCACTTTTGCTTCTTCCCCTTGATATTTTAGCGCCGGGGGTCTAGACTGTCTAGACTGTACCTACGACATCTGTTTTTGCGCTAATTTGGACCAGTCAGATGGGTCCGCATCATGCAGAAAAGTCATCACATTCCAGATCCCGAGGAATGTGGCCACAACGGAAGAGAAACACCCTCCAGACAACGCGAGCCGGATAGGACTGGCTAATTGCATGTGCCCTCGAAGAATAGAGTCAGATACCGCGATGATTGTGGCCCATCAACATCTGTCCCGTGTTGGTGGAGACCGGAGATGGGGCCCCCACCGTCATAGAAACACAACAGGCATGGTTGTTGCTGACCAAGTAGCTACAACATAGGGGGGGGAGAAACTAAGGCCGACATTGTGTGAATCTCGGCAAAATAATCATACAACATTCATATGTGGCACTTTTCACGCCATCATTTTGGAATTGTTCAGTAGTAGATCAATTCAATCAGGGTTGGATCGGTTCTGATTCTTTTTCGTCCTGGTCTATCTAGCGTGAAAGGTGAAAAACTCGATGTGATCCACACATAAGATAGTGTGTTTACGTACCTTTGTGGCGCCCCCCAAACACCCTACTGGGGTTGGTCCCTCGAAGATTCAAGCCCGAAGAATTTGATCGTCCTTGAATTTCCAAAGATGCACATTCTCGCAAGGATTCAGTATCATAAAAAAAATAGTCGCGAGTGTCACTGTGTTCTTTTTGTTCTACTCATCCCCAGCGCGGGTGGAATGTCGGGTCTTGAAGACCTCCCAATACCGATCCCCTCGAAAACGTGGTTGAGAAGGGCTAAATTGAAGTCTTTGAGGGAACATGTCAAGGTCCACGACTGCTGAGCAGAAAGAAGATAGAAAATGTGGCTCTCTCTCTCTCTCTCTCAGCCAAGCCTACTAGTCCGAGTTCATGTACTTGTCACTGCAAACTGCTATTGATGATTCGCACTCGTTCTGTTTCCACTTTCGGGAGATCTACAGCACACCACGTCTGATGGGACCAGAAAACACAAACGGCTTGGGTGGATCAAAACAAATGAAAGGACAGCACGCTTGACCCTGTTTCGCTCTTTGCTGGTAATTCGAAAAGGTTCCTTAATTATGGAGAGCAGGGCAGAGAAATGTCAGCACAACCTGCATGTTGAGATTACATCAGACAAAAACAGAAAATCTCTAACAAGCGTGCCTTTGTGGCAGGTTGCTTTTTCAATTTGCGCAATAAACAGCTGCTTCCCAACGAAAGTGTGTGTCGGCAATGGATATGACCTCCGACAGATTGCCATCTATGAAAACCCCCACTAGTATTATCCAGGTAGCTTGCAACTAATTTTGCTAGTTAGAACTATGCGCTCGGGGGTTTCCTGGCGCTTTTAGCATGATCGTGATGGTGATGTGACGTTTTAACCGCGGGCTTCTCTACCGCTACCATTTCGCCTGCATATGTTTGGACAATCATTACCAGCGCTACCAAATCCATAGCCCCGATTATATCTGGGTGGGGGGAAATTCGAATCTCTGCAAACACCTAAATGCATCATGTCCAGCTTGGGGGAAGCTAAAGATGTTGACTTACCCATCGAAGACGAAGTGAGCGCGAGGCGTGGCTATACGGCGTGAGTTTGAATATTCTCATTTCCACCTTACAGTCGGTTTTAATACTGTGCAGTGCTCTTAGCAATCCTAAGGTATCGAAGAAGGACAAGCGCAATGCATTAGACCTTCTCAATGATGAGATTGGCGGAGATGCACCTCGACATTACCTTGACGAGGGTCCGGATCGGAGTAAAGACCCGAGTGATCTAGCTGGTGTGGAAAGGTGAGAGATACTCGGGGACGAGATCGAGTCAATGGCTAACAATAATCTATCTAGCGCTGAACGCGAATCATACTACACCCCTCAAGGCGAAAAATGACTAGGCAAAGAGACATTTCGATTGATTTGCACATTCTGTAGACTGCGAGTTGACTGCGTCATAGGGGCAAAAGAAATGAAATCTCCACTTCGCTGAAACGGTGTTCTTTCTATCTACTCAATGGGCGAGGTTAACAGGCTTTCCTCCTCCGGCCACTTTCGAAACAAATCCTGGAGATGATCTAGCGGGGCCGTGAGCAGGTCGGCTACAGTCTCGAAGCGTGGATTGTCCAGGTCATATGGATGCGAGCGAGAGGGCACGAACATCTTAGTACGGCTAAGAGATTTACCCAGCTGTTCGCTCTCATCGGAAGAAAGGGTCTCCTCCAATATAACCAGGTCGGTTGATTCTTCGTCTCGCATATGCTTGGCAAGGCCTTCCATCAGCATTGTAATTGTAGGGAGGAAGCGAGGGTCAGAACTGTTTAAATCCTGGAAGGCGTAGAGCATCTCTTTGAGCTATAACATATCAGCATCGCTATCTCTAACACAGTTGGGAAAACTTACTGCTGAATGCTCACGTCGATCATCATCAATCTTCTCCTTGCTGTCAGGTCGAAGCTTTTCCAGTGCGGGAAACACTACTAGCTCCTCGGCGACGGCGTGTCGTGCAAGTTCCCAGGTAAATTGATTTTGAAATCTCGTTTGTTCGTCTTCATCTTCGGAGTTGACGATGATATTGTAATAAGACTCGAGTCGTCGGTGATCATCTTTGATCGCCTCGCTTATCCGAACCATGTTGGCTTATTATGGACAAAAATTCGAAATTCATCTGAATTTTCGTTTCTGTTGTCTCACAGGTATTCGGGTTCACTGAAGTTATTATGACGTTTCCAGTCTCATGGAACGTGATTCCGAACTATACAACTCCGAATATCGAACATCGCCTGACACTGGAGATAATGTGATCAAGTCTGAAATTTGGTCTAGCAGAGAGTTCGAGAATATGCTAGTTCCCCTCAAACTCATGACTTGCAATCTACAGCTGCCTGAAATGATATCCAGTGTCCCAGGGTCGGGATTTGTTTACTTGCTGCAGGGGGGTGAGCATTTCTGCATTTCTATAGAAATGCGTTATTTAGCATATATTTCCTTGGAAACTTACTTGTCAGGATTTTGTTTTTTTTGGATCCCAGTCTCGTTTTACTCAAATCAAATGAGGGTCTTTTGAGGTTCATGGAGTCCCGGTGTAATGTCGGAGAATTGTGCTCGAAAGGATTTTGGCTTCAAAATCCACATGGTGCATCAACACGTCCAAGCTCCCCCCCCCCCACAATCCCCGCAACCCCTTTTTTATTGACTTGTCCCAGAAAAATGACCTCGAAGCTCCTATAGAAGAGGAATACCAAGTCGGCAAAAATATACAACAGCGGCACAACACTGAGAACCACGGTAATCGGAACGCTGTGACCCGACACCCGCTCCATCAACACATACATCACTTGGCCCTGCTCTTTAATCAGACCTTTTGATGAAGCTTTGGGTAGCTGCTGAATCTGCTATTTTCCTGAATGGTGCAGCATGATCCGTTGATTGTCACCAGCCGTAGTTGAGGCATCATTTTGCGTCACTGAAAGACTTAACCCACGTGTGATTGATTCAAGGTAAACCCCCCTCTAGGCCTCCATAGTGCCCTAACTAATATCGGCTGAAAGATGGAATCTGAGTACCGGAGACTGACAGAGGCTATCCACAACCACGCTGGCGCTCATCCCAAATCGCGCTTCCTAGTTGCCATCGCAGGCATCCCGGGTTCAGGGAAGACCACCACAGCCGAGGCGGTAGTGCAACAATTGAATCACAGCTCGACCTCTCGCGCTGCCCTGCTCTCGATGGATGGGTTTCATCTTTCTCGGGCAGCTTTGGATCAGCTACCCAACCCCAAAGATGCACACATCCGCCGTGGAGCTCCATGGACGTTCGACGTGAGCCGCTTTGTGGCTTTTATATCTCGGCTCCGCGCCTGGGCCGATGAGACGCCGCTAGCAGCTCCTTCTTCTGGAACCTGGTCGCTAGCGGATGTCATTAGCGCGCCGACCTTTGATCACGAATCGAAAGATCCCGTCGAGAACGGGATTTCCATCACGCCGGATGTAGAGATCATAATCATTGAGGGCAACTACCTGCTTCTTGATGATCCCGGATGGCGTGAAATTGTTGGGCTTGTCGACTATCGTGTCTTTGTAGACTCCGATCCGCTGGATGCTAGGAGCCGACTGGCTGAGCGCCACCTACGGGCAGGTATTGAGAAGACGTTAGCAGATGGATATCATCGGGTGGACAGTAATGACTTCTTGAATGCGATCTCCATTCGAGATAAACTGCTGACCCCGGACATGGTTGTGAAAAGCGTGACAGTAGATGATATGTGATGTGTATCTTGAGACTATCTGTGCTGTGCATGTGTATAGACAGGCGAGCTATTTGAAAACCTGAGCAAAAACCCATCCATTTTGTCGCTCATTATTCATCCACCGTCTGCTTGTGGAATACATCTATTTATGTTCGTCAGAGATTTCTGAAACCCCCCCCCCCCAGGAAATCAGCATGCTGAACATACTCGGGATCTCCGGCAACCAATTTGCCCGAGACTTGCAGAAGAACTCCCCCTTTGGGAGTAATGCTTCCGGGTCGTCCAAGGATCCGACACAGATGTAGCGAAAATGCTCTTTGGCAGCATCCTGATTCCCGATTCATTTGTTAGGAACCCCCCGTACCTAATGCATAAAGTTAACATACTCCGTATTCCAGGATGAAGCTTCCGCAATTTTGACAAAATTCTCGATGAATCACCGCCCCAGATCCGTTATCCGCGACATGTTCTTTTGGTAACCCTTTGGTAAGATTGAATGTATCCTTTGGGACCTTGGCTGTCAGGCCATAATTAGTTCCAAACGCTTTCTGTTCAAAAATTGCAGCTTTAGTGAAATGTCATTTTCTGTTCAACTCAAAGTGTATACCTTGCAGTTACGACAATGGCAGAGAGATGCTCTCGCATCATCAATTGAAGCGAGCCTCAGCCTGTATTCAATACTCCGGCAAAGACATGATCCTGTTAAAGTGGGCATCTTGACGCACTGAATCACTTGATTTTTTGACCTTCGTAGAATATCCCAACGTTGACATCATTGGAACTTGAACGCGAATCAGCTCGTCAAGAACCTCAACTTGAAGAAGTTCAAGAAGTTCAAAAATTTCAAGAAAGAAATTTGACAAATTCCATATAAAATCTTTCAATGCCAATGAGTTCAGGCTATTTGCCAATGCGATGATGCGATGGTGACGGCGTTGCGGATATTCCCCGGGGCCGAAACTTTGAGCTTCATCTTTATCTTCTCCATCTCCAGGTCTTATACCGCTAACCATATCAAGATGACTCAGAGCGACCCCGAGCTCAAGCAGAGATCAGTGGTATCCTCTTTCGTCTGCTCAGATGCAGGAGAAACCATATTTGCTCTATTTCGACGAAGTGAAAAGGTCAGCACATATCAGTATGTACTTAAGAAACCCGCTTAAACATCAATCTGTCGCGCCCAGATTGACTGACTTCTCAAGGTACCACCTAGCTCCCATCTCAGGTAACATAGAGAACCATGAAAAGCCAGAGGCAGCAGCATGGCGTGAGTTGAAAGAGGAAACTACTCTCACTCAACGAGATGTTGACCTCTGGCGGAAGGGAAAACCACACAATTTCAGTGATCCTTCTGTCGGTCGGATGTGGACCATTTTCCCATTTCTATTCCGACTCAAAGAGTCTGGTGAAGGTGGTCGCGGGGAGAGAGGTATTCAAATCGACTGGGAGCATGACAGCTGGGACTGGTACAGTCCCGACACAATCAAAGATGATCTGAACTTTGGTGGCGTACCACATCTGAAAGAAAGCCTGTGGCGAGTGTGGTTCGAAGGCGACATGAACGAAACTGCTGGCAAGGCACTCACAGCAGGCCTGGGAGAATTGAAGGCAGATCATCAGAGTGGATCTCACGAGTTGACCTCGATTGCGCTGAGGATCTTCCGAGACGTTGTCGTGCAGATGGACGAGGACATCAACACGAAGTGGTGGGAAATTGTTCGCATGGCTGCATGGCATCTGTGGAAGAATGGGCGAGAAAGCATGGGGGCAGCCACCTTAAATGCATTGCTAGGATTACTCGCCGATATGGAAGAGATTGTACACGACACTCTCGACAGTAAGATCAAATGGGAACGCTTGTTGGCTTTGCTTGACTATCATCTGGACAAGCGCAAAGATATGCCCGCGCGTATCAAACGCTCCTTTATGACCTATCTCGAGTCTAACTTCCTGCCTATAACACGCTCAAGGCCTACACCCTCTATTGTGATCCTCACCCTGTCGGCGAGCTCTACTATCCGCGATAGCATCCTCGAGGCCTATGCATCTCTTCCAATACCTAATCTGGACATTAGGATCCTGGAATCTCGTCCACTTTTCGAAGGAGCCAAAATGGCATCTTCCATCCTCTCTGCCTTCCAGTCCCGATTTTCCTCGTCTTCCGATCGACATCTGAAACTAAACGTGTACACCGATGCATCTGCCGCTCTCGCCTCCAAGGAAGTGGATTTCGTGCTGCTTGGAGCAGACCGTCTCTCAGGCTCAGGCTCAGTGAGCAATAAAACTGGATCCTTGCCAGCTGTTCTAAGTGCCAGGTATGTTTGTCCTGCCGCCAAAGTTTTGGTTCTCAGTGAGCTGGAGAAAGTGGCCGAGCCTGGTGGCGGGAGCGATCATAGCCACGAAGAGAATGATCCTAAAGAGCTGCTAGACTGCTGGATAGACTGCGGCATTAAAGGAGTTAAAATCCTTACTGAGGGGATTGAGGCTGATCGAGAAGACACCTCTTACGCCGTCAAAGTTGAGAACATCTACTTCGAATGGGTTCCGGCTGAATTCATGGACGCCTATGTCTGTGAGATAGGGATTTTAGACGACGCTGCTATTCAAGAAAAGTCCCAGCAGGTAAAGCAGAATTTAGACAGATACTTTGGCCAACTCTAGCTAGAATCCTCATTCTCGACTCCAGCCTACTTCTTTATAACATGGTCGTGTTATTCCGAATGACGTCACAGTCCGAAACGGAATGAAATCCAATTTAGTTTCAACTTTGCGTTTGACCGAGCGTAATCCTTGGACATTGAGACTGCTTCTCGAACTCTTTCCAAATGTCAAAATTACTCTACCCAGGAATCCACACCTTCAGTGTTCCGGCAAAAAATTTGATGTTTGAATATGTCGTGCATCGTCCGTCCACCGAAAACGAAGATCTTCGCAATCTAGTTGTTGTTCAATGTCCCGGCTGGGGCTTAGGATCTCAATATCTTCAAAAAGGACTGCAGGCATTATGGAGACCGGAAGACCACTTCAGAACCGCAACTAATATCGGATATGCTGTCATCTTCTTCCATTCTCGTGGAACGGATGGGTCATCCCGACCACTGGCATCCCAAATGAGTAGCATGCCGGATCTTGCGTCCGACTTGGAGGATTTCCGCCAGCACCTGCATGTGGAACGATATCCGGTTTTAATGGGCCACTCAAATGGCGGAGCTATTGCGCTAGGGTACGCAGAGATGTATCCCAGTCGTGTTAGCAAGCTTGTTCTCCTCGATCACCAGCTAGTGGGATTTCAAGATAAGAGATTTCTACAGCTTGAAGCGACGCGCATAGATCCTCGATACCAGGATGCTTGGGACTGTGTGCAGGATCGACAGACTGGATCCGACGAGGAATTTACAGAGTCGGTGCGAAACATGTGGCCCTTGTACTTCTTTGATCCGCAGCAGTACGTTCCGGAGCTACTGCATGATATTGGAGATCGCGAGTTGTCGCTTTGGTGCTACCAAGCCCAGGGGCGATGTGACAGAGAATTGGGGGAACCAATGCAAATGGTGGAGAGGCTTGGTGATGTACAGGCAGAAACACTCATCATCTTCGGCCGCGAAGATATGATCTGCGGAATAGGGATTGCGGAACGGACAGCAACTGATATCCAAAATGCCCGAGTAATTACCTATGGCGAATGTGGGCATTTCCCTTGGATTGAGAAAAAGGGACAGACCATATTGGATATCCGTAAATTCATCGAGAAAGGAGGCTAGCACATCTCTCGCAACATAAATCAAACGGATTAAAACCGATGAGAACCTGATTCTGTGCAGATTAAACCAAATATGTCATTTTCCATACAGTAAATCACACGCTAAGGCAGGAGACGATTATCTCCAAAGGCCATGCCAAAGAAAAAAAAAAAACTTCAAAAGCCCGACCAAGACACCAAGGGTAGAGGACAGGATCGTTAAAAGACCCCTACTCCCATAAAGAAAACCAACAGAATATATTCAAGAACGGAAAAGAGGTATCATCATAATCAGACGTCACGAACACGCGCCTGTCGCTTTGCGGTGCCAATGTGGGTGTTATGTACTTTGGTGGCGAATTTTAAGCTGGTCAAGGTCTCCGACATGTGTGCCAAGAGCGGGCTGACCATAACGAACATGAGTGTCTTGGAGTTTCCACCCAAGGAGAATTGGAGAAGGTAAGTGAGCTGAAAATGAGTTAGTATCTAGCAAAGAAATCGGCGTAAAGGAACATACCTTGCTGTTCCGGTACGGAATGTGACCCCCATCTTTGCCTTGGCCGAGAGCTGAAATCACATCGCCCAGAGAACTGAGACTACGGTTAATGTTTTGAGTCTCTTTCAGACGCTCGCCAGTTGCCCCACTGTGGCTCAGACGCTCGCTTCCTGCCAAGTCGACGAGGTTTAGCGTGCCTTCGCTGCGTTCGCCAGTGATGTGGTTTTGACCGATAAGTTTGAGAATGAAGACAGAGTGAGACCGCGAGGAGCGCTCGTTAGCTTTGGTCGCTGCGACCGAGCGGTTGGCATCCGCATTCTTGAGAATAGACTCAACCATCTCGGGGGAGTCCAGGTTGACAGTTGTAATGTCGGTGATGGTAGTCTTGCCACGCTGCATGTCATGGCGAATCTCATGCTTCTTCTTATCCAATTCATCCGGGTTGCCTAAGAGATCATTGAGGTTTTCGTTGTAGACCTCGACAAAGTTGCCGGCCATTGAGTACCGCCAACCCTTCTCTTCTAGACCTTGCGCGGTCTCATAAATTTGGTGAACAGCGCGAGGGATCATACCGTCGGCAGATGACATTGTGTGCGTCTTGCCACTACCAGTTTGGCCATAACAGAATATGCAAACATTGTAGCCATCCAGGGCGCTCTGAACAAGCTGGCTAATCTCATCAAAGACCTCGGCGTTCTGGGTGGATGGATTGAACACACGATCAAACGAAAAAGTATTGTTCTTCCGGTTAACTGTTCCAAGGCTGCTCTTCTCTTCAGGCCCAAGAATATTAATCTCCTTTCCGTCGTCGTTCTCATCAGGATACTGCATGAGAGTGAGATCGGAGGCAGGTTCACTATTGAGCGAGGGGCGAACTCTGCAAAACACGCGGATGTTGCCTTTGAGCTCTTGCACTTGATTGTGAAGTTTGCGTCGCAGTGTCTCTTCCCTGCGCAGCTTCTCCTTTGTTGCCTCTGTCTCGGCAAACGCATCCATCATCTGCTGGTTGCACCGCTCAAATGATTTAGACTGTTCCTCCCGTCCACTTTCTAGGAACTCAATGCGTGCCTTAAGAGCACGGATTGATGACTCTAGGGTGACGCTGTTGCAGCTTGTAGCATCGAGGTTAAGTTTGAGTTCGTGGACAGTTCTTCGTTCGCGATCGAGTTCCGCCTTCAGGACCTGTAGCCCATCGTGCAATGTTGTAATTTCCCGGTCCCTCCTTTCCAATTCAATTTGTGACTTCTGGGTATCAAGTGCAGATTGGGAGGTCAGCTTGCCGAGCGCGCTTAGTTGTGCTGCTTTCTCGTCTTCGAGATCACGATCAAATCGTCGTTTCAGGTCGCGAACTTCCTCTTGATGTCGGTCAGTGATTGTGGCGACTTCTTTCCTGCATTGTTGTTGGAGAGAATCCAATTCAATGCGCTGACGTTGGTAAAGATCGTCCATGGCGATTTCGTGCTCTCGCTTGTCCTCTTTACGAGCCTGCTCTGCCGTACGTAACTGGTTTCGCAGCGAGTCTAGTTCCACACGCTGGGTAATGTTGAGTTCTTTCAACTCATCCCGAGAGGCTTCGAGCTCGTTGACTAGATGAAAAGATTAGATTCGTCTCACTATAGCCCTTGATCCGACTAAACCTACCCCTTGACTTGTACAAATCAACCGTCTCCTTGAGACCAGAGCTTGCTTGACCTTGTTGATTTACCTGGGCCATGAAAGTTTGCATCAATCCCTCTATGCTCTTTTCGCGAGAGGCTTGATCCCATTCCGGGCCTGTGATATTGTCAAAACTTCTGATCGAAGAACCTTTGGTCAAAAATGCGGGGTGTGAGGGTTTCTTGACAGAACGCCGTTGGTAATGTGATAGGGTTTGGGGGGGTGCAGTGAAAAAAGAAGAGGACGAGGAGGACTGCACACATCCGGGTGACTTTGGGAAGGAAATTTCTCGAAATGGGGTACTGGGCAACACGGGGACAGTTACTAGGTTGGAGGGATTTGGAAAAGAGACAGGTTTCTCGGACTCAGAGAGCGCTGTCAATTCACCAAACCCATCCCAACCATCATCCATTACGGGGGATGTGGGTCCAACGGGGCAAGAAGGGATTCGACTGGGAGACAAGGGAAATTGTGGCATACCCTTTCGCTTTCCTAGCACGCTGGGTGAGACGTCTTCCATATGGGTATCCAACGCACTCGCAGCGCGTGGAATCGATGCACCGATGGGTTTGCGGCCGTTGAAGGACGATTGATGCCGGGACATTGCCGATGCTGGACGCGCGCCAGGGCCGATAGTTGAGGAGAAGGAGCCGTTGGTTGTGCGAGATGCAGGTACGGTCGGCCGGGAGATAGTTGAAGATGAGTATGAGTTTCCTCGGCTATGCGCCTTGCTCGTTGAATTAGGTGGTCGGGTGACAGGTCCAGGTCTCCTTGTTTCCGGGTTTGAGGTTTTCGGACAGGTTGCTTCCGGCGCAGTCAGTTCATGTTGCGCCAACGGTTCAGTGTCTTCCATACGCGAGATGTTCATGGCCTTGTTTGCGATTGTACCTGGCGCCATGATGCCGGAGCGCGAGTTGGTTGTTGCAGAGGTGGCCTCACGTAGGCCGGCCTGTGGTAGGCGCGTCCGAGTAGACGACCTGGTCCTGGGCTGAAGATGGTCAGTTGTACGCCCATAACCTCCGATGTAACTGAGACCTAAAGTGGGGTATTTACTCTGTTTTCACCCTCCATGTTGGGATTCGTTGACCGCCAGGTTACCGGCGAATAGAGTATCCGGGCGAGAAGGAGGAGCTCACGTCCAGCCACTGTCTGTGTTGGCCGCTAGGACTTAACGTTAGCGAGTTGAGATGGAACCAGCAGGTAGAGGACATGCCAATAAATGGTCTAGGCAGTGACCTTGGAAGCATGGGCGTCAAATGAGCGCAAATTGGTTTCTGGAGGGACGAGATGCAAAGTAAACAAAGATTGTTGACTCAAGCAGGTGTACGAAGCTAATCCAGATCCGGCAATGGCATCAACTGGGCTGTATTCGTATTACCATAAAACAGTATTGTATCACAACACGTGATCCATCCTAGATCAAGGATGAAAGGCTGTAAGGTTCAATATGAAAGAAGAACAATCTGAAGATCAGAGAGTACAATGTCATATAACACTTCCTCCTGTTCTCCATTGACTCCTTTCAAAGTCGTTCCTAAATTAGTTGACAATTCGTGGGGCGCCTTTACCTCCACTCGGATTCCCGAAACAGCGGCGGCCCCAGTAGCCCCGTTGCTTGAGCTTCTCCAACGTCTCTTTCACTTACTCCTTTTTCCTTGCTCTACTTTTTTGTTTGCTCAACTTTTTCATTTGAATACTTGGTAATCATGTCCGGGCGTTTTGTTCGTTCCTCTAAATATCGTGAGTTCCTTCTTTAATCTAAATTGCGCCTCCCCGCTGACCGTTACAGGCCACGTCTTTGGGCGATCGACGAGAAAGGTAAAGGCTACCCCTCCTATACCCCCCCCCCCGATCTCCCTATTCTGACTTTTGCAGGATCAATGTTTCGACAACCTTCGAGTCTCCCGAAACGCTTGGGATACCAACCTTCTTAAGGTGTGTGTTTTTCCTTCCGCAACACCCCTGACGTTTCACTGGCGAACCCGGTCTTACGGTGCATATAGGTCAACCCAAAACATATTGCGGTCAATTGGGAAGCAGGTGGTGGCGGAGCTTTTGCGATTATTCCTCTTGAGGAACGGGGCAAGCTCCCTGAGCGCATCCCATTGTGCCGAGGTCACACAGCCGTCGTTTTGGACACCGACTGGTAAGGAACTTGAGCACACAACGCCCGCGCTGCAACCCACTGAACCCCTACAGGAACCCCTTCAATGATGACCTGATTGCCTCAGGATCCGATGATGGCAAGGTATAGTGCGACAAAAACAACAGCTATTGTCGCTGCGACTGATCGATTCCAGGTTTTCCTCTGGCGGGTTCCGGAGAACTTCACCGTTCGACCTGAGGTCGACGCCGACGACATCAAGGATCTCGCGCCTATTGGCAAATTGAGTGGTCATCCTAAGTACAAGTCTTTGGCCAACCCCATTATCACCTCATGCTTACCCCTCCCTGCAGGAAGATTGGCCACGTGCTCTTCAACCCCGCGGCAGAAAACGTGCTGGCCACGGCCTCGGGCGACTATACCGTGAAGATCTGGGATATTGAAGCCGGCGCACCGAAACTCACGCTGAATATTGGTGATATTGTACAGTCCCAGTCGTGGAGTGCCAACGGCTCTTTGTTGGTCACTACCTCGCGTGACAAGAAGCTCCGCATCTGGGATGTGCGACAGGAACGTCCGGCTCACGAGACGAATGGCCATACTGGTGCCAAGAACAGCCGTGCTGTATGGCTGGGAGAGCGCGATCGCATTGCGACTACCGGTTTCTCCAAGATGAGCGACCGCCAGCTGGCGCTCTGGGATATCCGTGCCGTCCGGGAACCCATCGACGGTTTCAAGACCTTGGATTCCATTTCTGGCGTTTGCATGCCTTTCTGGGATGATGGAACTAACATGCTGTACTTGGCTGGACGAGGGTGAGTGCCTATGATTGAACCCTTGCGCGTTCGCAATTTCTGATAACCAGCAGTGACGGCAACATCCGATACTTTGAGCTTGAGAACGACAAGTTCGAGTTCCTTTCTGAGCACAAGTCTGCCGACCCCCAGCGAGGAGTTGCTTTCATGCCTAAGCGTGGCGTGAACATGCATGAGAACGAAGTCGCTCGCGCCTACAAGACCGTCAGTGACCAATACATCGAACCCGTCTCATTCATCGTGCCCCGCCGGTCCGAGAACTTCCAGGACGACATCTACCCGCCCGCGACTGGATTGGCCGCCGCCATGTCTTCGTCCGAATGGCTGGGTGGCAAGGAGGCACTTCCTCCAAAGATCTCCATGGCCAGCCTATTTGATGGCGAGGGCATCAAGGAGGTGTCAGGAGTGGAGGAAAAGCTGACTGGCTCTATGGATGCTCCTGCGCCCAAGCCTGCCGAGGCACTTAAAGCCGCTGAGACCCCCAAGACCCCTGGGCCTGCTTCCTCAAAGATTGCCGCCGAGATTGTTTCTGAACCTACTCCTGTCGCGCGCCCGGCCCCATCGATGAAGGAACAAGGTGCTTCAATGGCCGCCATGGTGAACAAGTTTGCCGATGGTGAAGATGAGACTACCGTCTCTGACGACGACGACGACTCCAGCTTTGAGGAAGTTTCCAAGTCGCTTGAGCGTCCTAGTCGCCCTGTCGCTGCCGAGTCTGCTTCGCCCCGCGTCAGCAGCCCGTTGAGGCCCAAGGAAGCCGAGACAAAGCAAACTGAGACAAAGCCGGAATCTACCTTAGTCGTAAGTTTCCCACCCTCCAATACCCTTTGTCAGATTGTATCAGCTGCTAATTTTCCTAGTCTTCTACTGTTCTATCACACGCTAGCGAGACCCCTTCGCCCGCCACTTTCATCCATAAGAACGACATTGAAGAGATTAAGAAGTTGATTGTTGAACAGACAAAGACGATTGCATCTCAGGCACAGCAAATGCAAACACTTACTGCCGAGATTGAGGCGTTGAAGAGCAAGCTGAACTAAACAATTGGGTCCTAATTTCAGTCTCTGGGAGACTGCTAGGTTGGTCAAATATTATCTAGGTACATTCATTGTTGGGAGACCATGCTCCGGATTGGAATCATACGGTGTTTGACGTATATGAGGCGGTGCAGTGTGTGGATAGGTTTTTTTTTGTTTCTTTTTAGCGGGATTGTCAATACATTTGCCCATTAAAATCCAAAATACGGATACTATGTTCATTTCATGGCGAGAGGACAGGTCGGTTTTGACCATAAGCTACTCGCCCACGGCGGCGCATGAACCATCAAAACACGCCGAGCAAAAAGACTCACTGACAAGGAAAGACACTGTACTCAATTGAATACAACAAGATGCCATCAATAGAACAATGTGTTTGCAACGAACATATGGTAATCATACAGGTGGCTTGCTACATCACACATACGATCAACATCTGGCATAGTTAGTTGAAACAGGATGTGTCCTCGCAAGCTCCATACAAGCAAGTAGATATTGGAATTAAATATATCAATACTCGAGTAACCTTTGGCTCAAATCTGGATTTAAACACATCTCCATAGCTGTGAGAAATCCTTCACCTGCCATCCTCGCTCCTCAATGGTGGCCTTTGTGGCATGGGACAAATCACTGGCGATAAGTCGATAGTGTATTCAAGGACTGCGTTGTTCGATGTGCTGGTGCCGCCAACCAATCGTACTCGGTTCGATTCAAATTTGATGATTTGAGAGTGAGCCACCCATCACACCTCGATATATAATGACCAGACTATGTTGGCGACTATTGTCAAGTTTCGTTTTTTTTTTCTCTATTAAGCAAGGGATTGTCGCTGCGAGAAATAGGGTAAGAACAGAATTTTCATTCTCATCACTTGAAGTTCCGTCTCTATCCACAAGGAGTCATTTCAGATAGCCTACACAAATCCCATATCTACTGTTGAGCAGGCTCAGCTCAAGGAAAATAACAACATGCAAAAAAAGTGGAAAAGCAACCCTTTACGCCGTGTCCCATGATTTTGTACGGAAAGGAAAGAAACCAAACTCCAAGCTCAGAGTTCATCTTCATACTTGTAGTTGATGCGACGGCCCGCCACCACACGGTCCTGCCGGCCATCACGGCGGCGGCCAGACTTGGCCTTTTCACGGTGCTGCTGCTCACGCTCGAGGCGCTCCTTATTGCGTGCTTCACGCTCGAGGGTGTAAGGATCTTTATCGGGCTCGGCCCTTTTTGTTGAGTCTCCATTTGTGTCCCTGCTACGGTCTTCATCCCCACGTTTCACACGACGGGCTTGGGGATGGTCGACGCCGGTGACAGACGGGGATCGATCGCGGCGAGAACGCTTGCGATCGCGGTCACGATCACGACCACGATCTCGCTCCCTTGGTCGATCGCGGTCGCGCTCTGAAGTCCTATCTTTGTCGCGGTCGCTATCACGGCGACGTTCGCGATCGGAATCCCGGTCTCTGCCACGACGGTCGCGGTCTCGGTCACGATCTCGGCGTCGGAGATCTCGGTCTTGTTCTCGTGATCTGTCGTCTTCGCGCCGACTTCCTCTATCCTTGGTGGAGTGATAGGTGCTGCTGATTTGGCTTGCTAGATCGCGTGACTCTGGGGCTTCGGAGGACGCTTTGGTCCTGCCATTTGATCCCTCTTTCTCTGCAGTCTTTTCTAGACGACCAGAGGGACGGAAATCGCCGTTTCGACTGGAGCTGCGGCTACGGCTGCGGTGACGACGGGTGCGTTGTGACCGGTGGTTAGTTCTTCGATCTCGCTCCCGATCACTGTCGTGATGTCGGCGTCGCGAGGACGGACGAGAGGAAGTGTGGGATGGAGAACGAGATTGACGGGCGTTGGATTGTAGCTCATCAACCCGATCTAGGCGTTTAGTTTCTGCACCATGCCGACTGACACGGTCATCTTCAGTACCATTAACAGATGGCGAACGGGGACGAGAAACTGGATTCTGCGTGGGAGATTGAGATCGAGACTGCCCACGTTGAGACGGAGCGTTGGATGCGGCCCTTGGGCGATTGTCCTCAGTGGGTTCACTAATGGCTGTTAGATTGAGATTGCGAAGAGAAAAACAACGACAAAAGAGGAAGATCTCACCAAGAGATACTGGCTCGACCCTGAATCTGGAAGCCACGTTGTCGCAACACACTGGTGTTGGGTAGCCCCTGCCTCATGGCACGTGGAGCAGCTGGGGCGCCTTCAACGCCTGGCCCGCGTTCTTGTCCATATCGGCTATACCTGTATTGGCCATAACCATTACTCATTTGACCGTACCCAGGTCCGGTTGGTACAGAATTATCAAGACTGTCAATTGTGGGAATTCCTTGGGGTTGGTCTGTGGTCCCTGTTGGGATATCATCTGGATTACCCGGCACATCGGGTCCAGTTTCACCTGATTCTGGAGCAATCTCAATTGTTTGGACATTACCTTGAGCATCCATTTGAGTACCGGTGAGACCATTAGCAATGCTTTGGTTCTGGTTGGGGTAGCCTGAGTTGGAACCCTGGCGGAAATGACCTTGCATGGGTCCAAAGCCACCTCGACCAGAGCCATGAAACTGGCCACGGCCGCGACCTCGATACCCACCACGACCATAACCGCCATAGTAGCCGGACTGATAGTCTGAATGAGAAGGGTAAGCAGACATATTAGACCCGCCAAATGCTCCTCCATAAGGAGGACCCGTGCCATTTGCGAAAGCATTTGGATTGAATTTATTTTGGCCGCCTTGCCACATATTGTTGTTCTGTTGGGATGCGTCCCATCCTAACGATCCATACATGCCCCCGTTGTAATTCATCCCAGTATTCATGCCCATGCCAGTCATGTTCATTCCGTACATCCCCTGACTTGCCATCGGGTCCATCCCCATGGGCATGCCTGTGGAGATAGATTAGCGAGGTCAAAAAGGAAAAGTGTGGTAATAGTAAACTTACCCATCGTGTTCGGGTAATTGAACATGCCGGCCATGAAAGGATTCATACCGATTCCGTTCCAGCCCATCGCGGGGAAGTTTCCGGCCATGTTTGAGGTCATCGAGGTGGTAACAGAATCCCCAGGAGTCCCCTCGGGAGGGGGAACAGGTTCTCCATTTAGTGGAGTTTCGTTGACTGCAGCATCTTCAGTCGTAGACTCAAGGGCCGCTTCGGTGCCGTTGAGTTGATCACCAGTTGCCTCGGGCTACACAAAAAGGTCAGTTTGTAAAACTCGAGATTGATAGCAGTAGAACATTACCTGAGCTAGCTGATTTACCGAATCTGGGACACTTCGCTGTGGAATGCTTTCTCCAGCTGTTTCCGGGGCTGGTGTGTCTGGTCCAGGCTCTTGAGGCTTTGATTCTGTATGTTCTGTGGGGTGCGGCGAGACTGGTGCCTTGATATACACAGCGGCCACTGACTTAGCTCCATTTTGATCAGGAGTAATATCCTCGGCAGGTATGTTTTTGTCTGCGGGCGTGACATTGGATGGCGTTAAAGGCGCCACAGATTGACGGTCCTTTTCCCGCTTCTTCTCTTTGGTGCGCAGGAAAGCCTTGAGAGTGGTCCGCAGAGCCTTGTTTGGTTTGCAGAGATCCGGAGAGACGGGGGTATGTGTGCAGACGGGACATGTGTCGGAGAGGGAAGCTTGGCCTAAAACAGAGATCCGATTAGCTACTGTTTGCGACAGGTAAGAAATATTGGTTCCGACATACAGGTCTCACAGATAGACTGGTCGCAGCAGGGGAGACGAAATGCATTTACCGCCAGCTTATTGCAGATGGCGCATCGTAGCTTGAACGGGATCTCCTCTTGGACCAGGGTACTGCAGAATCATTAGCATCATGACGAATTTTGATTAGCATGCAAGTACTCCGTACCTGGCAATGTCCATGAGACCGGACACATCCGCCACCGCCATGGCTGGAGATGGCTGGAGATTTTAGATGACCCTGATTAGACAGAGAGCTTCAGTGACATGGCTTTGATGTCCGGCAAGAAGTGTAGAGGTTGATGCTTGAAATTGGTCGGAAAAACTATTTCGCCGAAGTTACATGTCAGAGCGAAGTAAGAGACAACGGGTACTAAGAGATGACGTGGAGCATTCAAACAAGGTGCATTGTATATGTTGTAGATATGATGAGACCCTCAGATTAGATCAAGTTATTTCGGGCGTTCACAGAAGAACAGCGATACTCTGATGGTTTCATCTGTTTCAACTCGGCGTTTTGGGATTTATCGTCATCGGGTATTTGGAATTCTACGGATGCCCAAGGGGTAAGAAAGGAGAGGTCACCTACGATGTACGAACAATGTAATATGTTGAGAAGTTGAGTATGTTTGACAAAGAGCAGACAGGGGAGAAGATCAGCTAAATCAGGGAGTCATCTTGAAAATAGAAAGATTTGAAAATCAAAAGTTGAAAAAGTGAAGAGTGAGATGTAACAAAGAGGAGAAGATCAAGAGGGCCAAAAATGTTGATTTTCGTCCCAAAAAAACAGACCAAAACAGACCAAAACAGGCCAAAACAGGCCAAAACAGTAAATTCCGGTAAAGACATTCAAAAAAAAAAAAACCACAACGGAATTTAAAAAGGACAGCGGCACCCGAGTCGGATCGTTGGATTCTCCTCTCCAGGGAGCTTGGACCACCTGCGTTTTCGCGATTCCACTATAATTTCTTTTTAATTTTTTAATTTTTCTTTTTGACCATGACAGAGGACAAATATCGGCCTCGCTCTCCTGATCTATCTTTTCCTCCTCAACAACACACGCTTGCGAGTCCAATTACATCCTGCCCATCGCCTTTTTTAAACTCGTACCAACCGTATCAACGCCCAAATCCAAGTCGCGTGTCTCAGCAGTACGTTCCGCCACATCAGCCAGACTCGGACATGGCCCGTCGTTCAAGTCGTCTTGCTCAGTCCGATCACGCCCCCACCCCCGAACCTATGCCTGAAGCAATTCAACCCATGCCCGAAGTTTTCCAACCAATCCCAGAGCCGATCGCAATGGCGCCAGTCCCCGCCGTTGCGCCGGAGATGGAGGAAGAGATTCCACCGGCGCCTCCAACTGCGGGGATTGAAGTAAAGACCAAGTTTCCGGTGGCGCGCATCAAGCGCATCATGCAGGCCGATGAGGATGTTGGCAAGGTTGCTCAAGTGACGCCAATTGCTGTGTGTAAGTACACCCTTTGCGCCTCTTTTCGCGCGTACTCCCTATGCTTTACAAGAGATACTGACTAGATACTTTCTTGCAGCCAAGGCTCTTGAGCTCTTCATGATCTCTCTCGTCACCAAGGCGGCACAAGAAGCAAAAGATCGCAACTCAAAGCGCGTCACAGCTTCGCATCTCAAACAGGCCGTCGCCAAGGATGAAGTGCTTGACTTTCTGGCCGACATAATCGCTAAGGTCCCTGACCAACCCGCTAGCCGGAAACACGAAGACGACGGGAGCGATCAAAATGAGGGCCGCCGTAAGCGTGGCGGGCGGCGACCAAAGGATGAGAGTGATTGAGGCTGACCCATAAATGATTTGATGACGGCTACATGGGGATCGGTACTAGGCGCATGAATCCATGGAGGGGTTTCGTTTTTATTTTAGGCGTTTAAATAGTGGGAAGGCAAATCTTGGAGCGCATTATCTGTGAATATATTGGGGTTTTTTGGGCTCGAATGACTTGAGCCCCCATCCGCGCACAGTCTTTTTATCTAATAAACAGGACTTGGATTGGCATATTTCTTTACTGGGACTTGAATGTGCATGACTGTAACTGTACAAATCACGAATGTGTATGTAGCATAGATGTAAGCTTGGAAGTTGATGGTCTGTAGCTGTTAACGGCGATCCGCGCGATAAACATCGTCTCCACTCATCCTCGACCACTCGTCACCTTCACTCTGTGAGATCATGCTGCTTTCACAGAATGGACTTTGTACGTGCCCTTCACTTCTCTATGAATCTTTACTGATAGAACTAGTGGTCTCGTCTTATCGGCGGCTCGCGCGCGGTGCCCAAAAAATCCTCTAAGGCCACCTCGCCCACGGAACGGCTGACTGCCTTTAAACGTGCCTGCAATGCCCTCCAGGTACCAACCATGTCCGCTTCCAGAAGGCTACCAACTAAACCAATTAATAGCAAATATGGCGCTCAACAAACAATCCATCTGGCGAACAATCGGTTACGCACACGCGAATGTACGTTGAACGACTCAACTCGATTCTAAGCGAGGAAGCCCGCGGGCCCGCACCACATCCCTGTGTCGCCTATGCAGCATCTTCCCAGGTCTTTGTGACAGTGACGAAGCTCGCCCTCTCCTTCCACGATGAAGGAGTCGTCCGATCAGCCACGGTATTCTTCGACACGCTGATCGATGCGGAGGTGGATGGGGTTGTAGACAACCGATTGTTCGCCCGCGCGATGGTGGATCTTGTCCGCCGTGCCGAGAAGACATCGGATGAGATCGAGGGCCGACTGGTTGAACTGCTATTTGGTATTGCCAACAACATTCGTCTGCAGCCTGATATCTTGCCTGCGTGGTTTGTGCCTCGGGTATCACCTGTCGCCCAGGACAACGACTCCCAAGCCCTGAGTGGGACGGAGTTTGCAGGGGCGACGCGGAAGGACGAGTTTCCTCTGTTCTATCTGCTAGTGGACTATGTTCACCACGAAGGACGTGCTGGCGACTTTGCTCGAACGGGGTTGCTCTACCTCATTGAAACCGCATCTCGGTCCAAAAACTTGGAGAAATGGTTGATCGAGAGCGACCTAGCTACGCTCATGGCCACTGGACTGGGCGCACTTTACAGCCAGCTGGGACAGTATGTTTTGTTCTTTGATTATTGTGGGACACTGTATACTAATCGAACAAAGTTTGTCGTTTGCTTCCACCGCCGAGGACGATAATCTCCCCCACATTGTTGTTTTATCTGATCATGCCAAAGAAGAGACCGCTTTGCAGCCAACACTCGGTCAAACCATGGATGCTTTTATGTCCTATCTGTTGTTTTGGCAGGATACAATCGACCATTGCAAATCTGCCGAAGTGAACGACACCTTACTAGACCATTTCCAGGTGCTGTTTTTAGAGCAACTTTTGTGAGTATGCACTCGTCCCTCTGCAATAGACTCACCGCTGACTTCTAAAGGTATCCCTCTTTGTTAGAATCATCAGATGTAGCTGGTGGCTCGACGGCAGCAGTGCTGACCTACATGTGCCGCATTCTTGAGTCAATCGATCAAGGTGAATTGGTTCATCGAATTCTACATTTCTTGCTAGCATCTTCCCCTCAACCCGAGGAGCAAATGGACATGTCTGCAAGCCGACGGAAGTCCCTCGATGTGCTAGCTGCTTTGGCCTCTGAAGCGGCTCAACCATCTCCGTCACTGTTCAATCTTCGTGACCTGGCCTTACTGGGACTTCATTCATCAAACTCCCAGACGGTGTTAGCTACGCTACGCCTTTTAAATACTGTGCTTCAGAGACACCATCTGTTTGCACGAGCGCTGATCCACACCATTCCTACACAGCCTGCAAATCAGCGCCCCGTTGGCGCTTTGAATGCCGAGCTAGAGCAACTTTTGGTCATGGGAACGTCCCTCGTCGAAGATCCTACGCTGAATGAGTCGTATGACAACTATGTTGCAGATGCGACATGTGTGCTTGAATCCCGCCTATGTCTGCCCGTTTCTTCAATGGAGGAAGACGAGGTGACGCTACCGTTACCATTGCAACTCCAGCAAGACGATCCCATAGTGCAGGCTCTTTTCGTGTGCCTTGAATCTTTCTTTACCAACAGCGTCATTGTCAATCTAGCATTAACAGGTGTGTTTATGAGCCTGGCATCCTCACATCTCTTCTCCTTGGACGGGTGGGTGTTGGTTGATCCCAACCATTACGAGGCCCCGTCCTCGGACAAAAGCGACAACGGATTTGACTACGTTCGTCGGGCCTACCAAGCACCAAATTGGCCCGCAACAGCTGCTCCGACATTGATTTTAGCTCTCCAACAACTCGTGGACCAGGCTCAACAATGGCAACGAGAACTCCCCGATTTTAATGTACTGGTAGCTGCCCGACGAGAACTCTTGCACCAGGACGATCGTCCACAGACGCCGGTCCGATCACGAGAGCCCTCGGAGCATCCAACATCCTCAACAAATCGCTCGCACCCGTCGAACCCGGGTTCACCGGATGCCTCTACCCTAGCTTCCCGTGGCCGGTCTTCGTACTCGGTCAATTCGGCGCCCATATTTTCCAGTCGGGACCGGGATGGGTCTTCTGTTCCTTCTGAATCGCGCGGATCCTCCAACGCCCGAGCCGTGGCCGCTGAGGCTCTCCGACAGCGCCTTGCCACGCCGTTTCCGCCTACTCCCGCGGATCCGCAATCTCCGTCTACCGAAGATGGAGCCTCGGGCTCAGAAGATACCAAGGATGCCCCAGTCGCAACTCTCGGTCATGTACTGACTAATGTGGTGATTCTTTATGAATTTATCCTAGAGCTGTCGGCAGTAGTACAAGTTCGGGGAAGCTTATTTGAAGAGGCAGGATATGACTGTAATTAAGAAAGGGGTGGTTTTTTTTTGCACAAGTAGGGGTATATATGGTATCAGTACAGTGGAGGAGTAGTCCGTATTCTCTGAACAATCTATCAAAAACATGCTAAGAATTTGATATGCAAAGCAATGAATAAGAATAGCACAAGTGGACACCCACTAGCAACCCACTAACCCCTGGACGAGAGAATAACACCCGCCAAGACCTCGTGCCGGATTGGCTTGCGACGATTGGCAACTTGTCCTCCAGGCACGTAAGACAGCATTTCTCACACTCTTTTCTAACTCTATTCTGACAATGATCTGATACTGCCCCTCATTAATACCCTTTCGATCAGACTACATTCTTTTATATATACCCTCACTTGACGGTATGACTGGCCAAGATGGCCTCTATACGTCATGAGCCTCTCGACCGCGAGGACCGCGAGGATGCCCCGTTCCTCGACTCCGCCGATTCGAGCAACCCCGGCCCAGCTCATCGTCATGTTCATGGTAAACCAAGTATAGGCAGCCTCCCAGTGAAGGCCAATCCCTCCGCCAGCGCCATTAGTTTTCGCCTCAAGGCGACCCTGTTCGCCATGGTCCTCGCGGTTGAAATCGGCTTTGCTTTCTTGGAGGGCCCCATGGTCCGGATAATGGAGTCTATTGCTTGTCGCCAGTATTTTCTGGGGGTGGATCCGACTAAGATTGGTGCTGACGGACAAGTTCCGGAAGCCATGTGTAAGATCGGCGAGGTGCAGGCTGAACTGGCGGCTGTCAAGGGTTACCATATGTTCTTTGATGGATCACTTAGTAGGTCATTTTAAATCTGCAGGGTTGGACCATTATCTGATTGTTTTGCAGGCGCTCTTTTGGCGATTCCCTATGGTCTGCTGGCAGACCGTCGTGGCCGCAAATCCACACTCGCTTTGTCTCTTCCCGGATTTGTGTTGAATTCCATCCTTACAATTATTATATTGTGGTTCTCGGATGTCTTTCCTCTACGTGCGCTTTGGTTTACTGCATTGACATGGGTGTTTGGGGGTGGTCCAGTCGTATCGTTTGCGATTATCTGGACTATGATGGCTGATGTAACCAGCGAGGCCGAAAGGTATGCTGCTCCTCTAATTTGGGCATGAGCTTTGTGGATGCTAATTGAGTGACACAGAGCGGGCATCTTCTTTCAATTTGCCATCGTTTCGATGGGGGCCGACTTTGCTTCGAGTGCTCTCAGTTCTTATCTCATGACCTTGGACCCCTGGATACCCTTGGTGGCTGGATTCGCAATTGTAATAGCCGGCATGATGCTCATTTTGGTGTTACCCGAAACGAAGCATGCACTGCCACCCCGGAAATCTGAACCAACTCATGTGGAGCTGTCGGATTTAACAGATGACCCCGAACAAAAGCGTTCTTTGCACAATCTGAATGACCCGGAACCACATCGCGCAGAGCCTGACATGAACGGTGACCATGAGAACGAACCGCCGACTTGGAGTATTCAATCATATTCCCATAAATCTATTCTGGCAAAATTCCGCGCAAATTACCGCTTCTACCTGAGACCCTACCAGTTCATCCTCAACCGAAAACCAGTGCTCCTCCTTCTCACTGCATTCCTGGTCTACCGCCTGAGCCGAGGTTCCTCCTGGTTTTTGACCCAGTATATATCGACACGTTATTCATGGACACTGGCGCAGTCCAACTTTCTGGTATCTGCTCGGCCGACCGTGTCAATCCCGCTGTTCCTCTTCGGCCTACCTTTTCTCAAAAGCAGATTCCTGAGCCCGCGACTTTCATCGACAGAAAAAGACCTTTGGCTTGCGCGGAGCAGTATACTTTGTCTTACGGTTGGAACCCTCGGAATCGGTCTCTCCCCAACTATTGCAACCCTGATCCCCAGCATGATCATCCAGACCTCTGGATCTGGCTTCGTTTTCCTTGCCCGTTCTATCATTACCACTTTAGTTGAACGTGACGAGACCGCTCGCTTATTTACTGCGATTGAGATTATCCAATCATTGGGAAATGTGGTTGCGAGTTTATCCATCACGACCGTCTTCCAGATTGGACTGCGTCTCGGCGGCGTCTGGATTGGTCTCGCGTGGATGATGACCAGTACGCTCTTCTGTTTAGTCGGGGCAGCCATCTGGTGTTTTGACCTGCCTCCAAGACCTCCAACACCTGACTTTGTGGTGGATGATGATGATGGGGATGACAGTGCGTGATTTTAGAGACCCTGTACACTACCCACAGATTTCGTGCGCATTTGGAGCGTTTCTTTCTTTTCATTATCTCTTAGATCATAATATAAATATAGCTCTGCTTGAAATTGGTCAAACAAATAGTACAGAACTTGATATCCAGTGTACCTCGCTCACCTCTAGCCCGTATCCTCCGGGGATATGGTATTTCTATGTGCCTCAGGCTTGCATCACGTGGCATCTCTTTTCGCATGTGAAGATCACCAGCTGGTCAGTCCAATTTCACTGCCAGAAATAGCCCCGGGTTCGAGTCGCAACTTGTGCTGTCAGCACATTCCTCGGATACACACTTCCTTACCGCATGGTGTGTTGAAGATTGGGCCCGTACTATATACAGCTCATTCTGCTTAAAGCTGTCACAACACGAGATGGAGAGATACTCTCAATTCCGGGATCGAGGTGAGTTTCTGCTGTGATATTAAGCCCCTCCAAATGCAGATGTGCTAAAATCTCTCTTAGGCTCGGGCATTGCACCATTCCTCCCAATCCCTGTTGAAGCGCTCGGCCTCCAAGCGCCCCTTCGTATCTTCCTCTTCTGTTTCCGCCTCCCGCTCTTCGTCTTCGTCACTCTTAGCTATTTTTTGATCTTACAATGGCTTCCTATTGGATCGTTGGGCAAAAAGGCTGCTCTATGGTGTATCCTTGGAGTTCCCAGCATCTGGTGGATTGATCTCCAAGTGGACGGAGTGCGCAAAGGGTTTGTGCTGCACCAGTAGAACAATAGCCTGTTCCGCCTACAACTAACAACTCCCACACAGATCTCTGAAGCAACAGCAAGCGCGTCTGCCACAGCCCGGTTCGGTCATCGCCTCTTCCTTCACATCACCCATTGATGCCCTGTACCTGGCAGCTATCTTCGACCCGATCTTCACAGCGTCCTACCCGAACACTCGCCAGGTTGAGCGCATCTCTCTGCTTCAGGCCATCTTGCGTGCCTTCGCTTTCCCCGCCACGCAGCCGGCCCCTGGTGCCCGGATGGTGGATGTGTCGACCTTGGTCGAGCAGTACCCCAACAGGCCGGTTGTGTTGTTCCCAGAGTGTGCCACCACCAACGGTCGTGGAATCTTGACCCTGAGCAACTCCCTTCTCGGCGTACCTCCCACGACCAAGATTTTCCCCGTCAGTCTGCGCTATACGCCGATGGATATAGTAACACCGCTTCCCGGGAGTTATCTGAGTTTGCTATGGACGCTTCTTAGCAAGCCGACCCACTGCATCAGAGTGCGCATCGCGGAGTGCGTTACCAATAGCCAAATCGCCAGTGATACAACTCGCAAGTCGACCTATAACACGAATTACCTGGACACACTGGACCAAAATCGGCAGGAAGAACAGGTCTCGCCTAGTGAGAAAGCGCTGCTGGACAATGTGGGAGAGTCGCTTGCCCGTCTGGGTCGGGTCAAGCGGGTTGGCTTGGGGGTTAAAGAGAAGCAAGAATTTTCCCGAGCATGGAGTCAGAGCCGTCGGACATGGTGATCTTAGTAGAGAGATAATACTTCTTTCAGTACATTTTTAGAGATCTTACCCTGAACAAATTGTGTGGGCCCAAGTTATTCCCGCTAATTTTGCTGGTACAATGGCTTGAATGTACAGAGCGCAAGTCGAATCTGGTTTGCTACGCACATAATCATTGCAGTGGATGAACCTTGACGAGGATTAATATTTGACTCATCTGAGGCTTGGTTCTAATCCAGGAACAAGTCATTGTATAGGTTAGGGAGGATTTGCAGTACAAGAAGAAGGGCATCTTCCACAATGACAGCCCACGATATGCCGAGGCGGTTGTCAATACAGACCTCACCAAACCCGTTTGAGAGTCGTTATTTTTAAATTAGACCAAGTCATGTAAATAAGAAGATGGTATACCGTCTCCTTCCAATTTGTGAGTCAAGGATCGAAACATCCTAAAATCACCCAGTTTCATGACATGGGCAAACGAGAGTGCTTGCAGTTTGGACTGGATCATTCAGCCATATCTGATATGTTCTTCTTTGAAGCACGCTGTTTGAACTACATGACGTGGTCCCCTCATTCCTCTCTCTCTCTCTCTT